AGCAAGCATTGATGGTGAGGGTTTGACTTAAATCCACCCATGTTTGTGGAGCAGAACATTTTGTTTGTATCAAGCTCTTTATGGTTGAGAACGAGTCAATCAATCTGTGATATAGACTGTCTTCCTACTCTCACCACTCAGACTCATGTTTCCAATTTTATGTTGGATTAGCTATCATACTAAGACAACCTATAACATGCTAACTCGGACTTTTACACTAGGATTGTGTGGCTGGCATCGAATGGACAAAAAAATTAGACAACAAAAGATATAGTCATTCAGTATTTTTAACATTTCACCCTCTACATGCAAACACTCTACTAATAAACCGCTTCCCTTGTACTAATCTTGACTTCCGGTCCTTCATGTGAGCTTACTTCAACTTGTTGAACATCACAACTCATTGATCCTGTAGATCACCAACGTAGATGATCTATGTCGAAATGATTGGAGGCCTACTCGAGTTAGACGTGAATAGAGTGACGAACCAACTAACGTCGAAGTCACACCTCGTGGTCAGCACCTTACGTGGACTACCCCCATTGACGTAACAAGGCACTATAGATGTTTTGAAGACTGTACAACACAAAGGACGTTATTACAGAAATATATTAGTTAAAGTAGATACAAGCGAAAGTAAGACCACTGCCGCATGGGCCAGTCCATGGCATACCATTAACTAATGCGCGTTGGTTGTACATGACCTTGGCAGGGAGCGACGATCTGTTCGACATTCAGTGATCCAACTGCCGGATGATTTGGCTAGGGCTCAGTGACATTTCACTGGCCCTACAATACTCCCCCACCAGATTCAACGGCCGTTTGAATCGGTACCAAACATGTTGGGAGCAGTCGCGCGCCAGGGAGTGCCAAACGAATATTATAAATCCTCCAAGTATTGCTTATCTGTAAAAGAAATGGAAAGGAGGCGGCAGAAACTGGTCGGGAAACAGCGAGTCATAATATGTTAGTAGGTCGTTGCTTAAACGTAAATTGATTAACCATAGAAATAATGAAAAGAACAAAACGTTTTATTGTTCTATCAAGTCGCGCTGAAATATATAGCCTTGACAAGTAATTCAGTTCCTCCGATGACATACGCTAAGTCCGTCGCAAGAGTAATGATGCTATAGCGATAGTAGGATAAGTGTATTATCAATCGATGTCCTTGTTTGTACTGTCATTAGTTTAAAGTTGTAAGTCGGACAGTGTCGTTGACAGCTATTAATTAGTGTCAAATTCTAGTTATATCTATATCTAACAGACTAACCGTAAGTACAGAAGTATAACAGTGAAGAGTGGTCGTGATTTCGTTGTGCGAAGCTATTGACCAACTTGTAGTCACAGTTTGAAAAGTCGATGACTGCTGTTACAGTCAGTAAGGGTTGAAGGCTACAAATCGAGAGCAAAAGGTGGCACGATGAAGTCTCTAAAAGATGATAAACGGTAAGTGCTGCGTGTTTGTTCGGTTAGTGAACAGAAAAATATCGAAAAGAACATAAGAAACCAAGAGTGTCACTCTGGACTCATGTCAATGATACCCGTGAAAAACGCTGTCAGTGTTGGGATAGAGGCGACAATGTCGTTTTAAGTTTGCAGGAGATTCGCTCGAATGATAATGTCGTCAGACCACCAATTGAACTGGACAGGTTGTAAATCGTCGAGTAGTTGAACAACCGATTGATGTACCGAAATCATCGGTGAGATAACAGCCACGAGGAAACAATACTTCATAAAATGAAGTACGACATCGAAGTAGAACAACTACAATAGTTCAGATGTGTTACAATGTCAAGTCTAAATAACATCGTTCTTACGTATACTGACAGTTGCACTGAACGTTCGCTTAGGTATGATTAGCGTAACAGTTGGATGTGTGAATAAAAACATATACGAAAACTATGGTTGGGTTCGTGGAGAATTTTCGAGGACGTTTAGATATTTTCCAAACCCGTATCGCATGTAAATAAACCGAAAATAGAATTAAAATGACTGTCGTGTAATAAGGAAATCGAGCCATGATTTACCGTGTGAATTATTAGCAAATACAAGGGGTATAATAAACATTAATTAAAATGGTAACCACCAATGTAACTAAGGTTTAGAGGGTCCAGGTAACGTGGCCATTTCGTAAAAGGCTGATACAAAGAGCTTATTACCTAGCGTTAAGTGACATATTAAGTACGACGTGTGTACTTGGGACATGGACTAAGCGTGCTCGTGTACATGCAATATGTTTTACCACAGTATATCGACTAAAACTTGACGGCAGTGACAGAATATATGACTAGTTTACGTGAAAGCAACTACGAGATGTTATCACGCATCATAAATATAGTACGAAATAATCTAATCGCCTGGGTTACTCTTGCCTCTAAGTAATGAAGATATGAAGTAGGCAGTAGTTTGAATCTGGATTATGTACGAGGTACTGTTGATTAAATTTTTCGATTAACACAGCATTGTAGACTGAATCGGTATAAGTCCAGAATTAATTTAAGCCGAATACATAGCATTACCAGACGAACAGTCTAAACGAGATCTAAGATCGCAGGAAATTTATAGTTCAAACTCACCGTGAATTTCTAGCATTCGTATCCTCTGTTTGGCCATGGAACTCAGCAATTGGAAATTAGGCAGGCAGTGGTAAAAAAAAAGCAGGACATTCTAGTGGATAGTGGTTAAGCAGAAAGATGAATTTATAGTCGATAGTTAATCTTGTCTTATTTATACCAGTGGATAAGGTACAAAGAGATATGCGTTCGTGTTGCCTTGTGGCTATACTCACGAGTGGTTGATATTTTAACAGACATATTACACAGGAACATTTACGTGCTGCTAATGCTTGTTAAAGAACCACGATAGCTGATTATAATCGTAGTTGATTGGTTAGTTCTATCGATTGACCTAAGTATTTAAGTTTAAATACTAATCAAAATTGACATGAAGCAACGAAAGTTCACAGTAACAGATTAACATAGGCGATGATAAAAATGAAAAAGAATAAGTATAGAATACAATAATAAAGATTATAGTGATAGGTTGCGTTATTCGAAGTCTTGCTCACCAGTGTAGATCACTAACGTAGTTGATCTATGTCGAAATGATTGGAGGCCTACTCGAGTTAGACGTGAATAGAGTGACGAACCAACTAACGTCGAAGTCACACCTCGTGGTCAGCACCTTACGTGGACTACCCCCATTGACGTAACAAGGCACTATAGATGTTTTGAAGACTGTACAACACAAAGGACGTTATTACAGAAATATATTAGTTAAAGTAGATACAAGCGAAAGTAAGACCACTGCCGCATGGGCCAGTCCATGGCATACCATTAACTAATGCGCGTTGGTTGTACATGACCTTGGCAGGGAGCGACGATCTGTTCGACATTCAGTGATCCAACTGCCGGATGATTTGGCTAGGGCTCAGTGACATTTCACTGGCCCTACAATCCTTATTGCTACAATCTCTTATATGGGGCCTCTGACTTCATTCCACTCTAACAAGAGATAATATGAATTTAATCTAATTTATTATACATCTGTCTGTTCTACTACAAAATGTTAAGCAACATTTGGCGTTCATATCCAAGTGCCTTGCTGCTCTTCTGTTCCTCTTTTTTTCTTCAGAATCTTGCTCTGAGGGCACAGCTATGGAACTTCTGACGTTTGGAACAAACTTGACGTACGCATCTCCACAAGGTCATGGTTTACAGCAAGCACTCTGCGAGTCTATTTTATAACAACTATAAACTTGATAAGATAGGAAGCGTGCTATGAGACGACAAATGTTGTTATTTGTAGATCATGCCTGTAAAAGTGGCGTGTACCTGCTCATGCAGAAATGTATTATTATTATTAAAAACTTTGAGCAATAAATGACATCTTATTAGAAGAACATATTAAATATAAGGACAAAAGTATAACACCCGATGAATGTGACTACATGGACGGGACACATGGACCTTTTAATCTTTTACATTGTTCGTTAGTGGAAGTTCGTTCCCTTATTTTTGATGTGTTGGGGGTAACAAGGCAGTATCGAGGATTACAGTAAATAAATTACGTCTTCTTTTTGCACGTTAGATCAGCAGAAGCCTGGTTCATAAAAATTCTCCAGATTCGGGCTCATATCAAGGAAAATGAACAGTCCTTCAGCTTCAAAGTTTCCTGAACACGTATATGAAATACCGAACCAAAACACGTTAGAAACCGAAACCTCAAGATAGAGCAGTGAATTTAAAGTCAGTATGGCGAACGATATTCACAATAACAGTAGTAAGTCATAAACTGACTAGCGGTTGTAAAAGATGTGAAGCATGGATTACCCACTCTCGATCTCGTGCGGATGCGTGACTGAGTGCTCTCAGCTAGATGAGTCCCTTAAAACTAATGTGGTCAGTATCAGACGTCGAAGACTCACAGAGAGATTGACTTTATGAATTTATTTATCAGTAAAAGTCATTTCATCCTTCGGGCGAAGAATTGCTTAGGATAACTCCTTGGGATTCGAGGAGTTAGTCCATGTTTCAATATGAAGCGGATATGTTAGGATGAGCTCAACTACGGAGGACCAACCTCTTTCTATTATCTTACCTTGGATTACGGGGTGGTCTAATATCGGCTTATGGTATGATGAACGATGATCTTTGTAATAATGACTTATCTTTTTTCATCTATGACTGATCATTTAAAAAGATGATAAAAGAAATTTGGAAAGTTGAGACCAAATCATTTTCATCTAGAATTCCGTCTCTCGCACCGAGTAGTGAATTATTGGAATTCTCTACCAGAATATGTAATATCAGCGCTTGTTAATCCATTCAAAGTGAGATCAGACCTCCACAGTGTTACAAGTTGCAAGGATTAATATAGGTTGACTGACCCCCTATCCTTACCGCTGAAGACTGAGCACAGTTAACTCAATAGGTCAAAGTACTCCTGGCTCTCATTACAAACATCTAATTTTCGGCACATATTTGAATTCAGTGTGGGAAATGACTGTGCCACAATCGTCTTGTTTGTGTCTATCCGATTCCCCTTCAGAGTGGCTAAATAAGCTGTTATATCGTGATAGTCTCCACAGGGATTTGACCTCCACCCTGGAGTTGGAAAAATGTAATTCTGAAGCATTACCTTAAAATCAATTCTTATATCAGGTAAAGTTTGTTTCAGCGGCACTCGGGAACTTGATTATCCAGTCCTGAATGATGGCCTCAGTTATGAGATTGAGGCGACTAAATCATTTCCTCTACCCCCTGATTTAATTGAAAAGTTCTCAAGTATATTTGATTCCGTAGTATGAAGAATATTATAGGTATGCAAACGAACTGCTTGATGGGAGTTTTCACCTTGTGTGACAAAGTGTGGGTCACAATAGACAATGAAATATTCATGTGGAACTTCGAGGATGGGTTGGTACAATACATTCAATTAACCTAAATTTATATTTAGAGAGGATTTAGCCTATTACGATGGGGTAAACGACACTATTATATCTGTGTCGCTAATCGTGCCCTCAGCTGGTAAGTATCTGAAATAGCTTGGGTTAATCGATGTACCTAATTTCTGTGGTGGTTCGACGTCATACGTTGCATAAAACTTTTTAATGAAGGTTGTACTCAGTTAATGGATTAATTAGTGATTCAATTATTTATTGGCTCTCAAAACTATAGAGCTTCACTAACATTCGGTATCTGCGTTTTCTTCCGGCAATCATTTTGTAATTAATCTCAGTATAACCTCGCAAAAGCAAACAGTACTGATTTTGTAAAAATAACTCTTCAAATGTATTGATTATCTTGCCGTAAATTAGAAACTACTTCAATATAATTTTGTGTAAAATTATAGTTCATTTTCCTATCTTCCCACTTGTATTTCGTTTTTTGCCGAATAGAATGCTTCAAGTGTTAAGTGAATTTTTCAACAAACTCAATTTTTCGTAAATAAATATGATTCAGACATACTCTCAACTACTTTCTGTATGACTAACACCTTTATTTTACATGTAAATATGTAACGAACTCTTAAAAAGCTGTTTTCATGATCACCTTCAAAAGTGAAACAACTCACTCTCTGAGATGTATCCTATTTTAAGAGACTACATTAACTGTTGTACGTAATATCTCACCAAGTAAGGGTACTAGGGTGACATGCAGAATATTTTTCGCCTTCAAAGTTTAAAGTCTTCTGGGCATTGTTCGTAAAGTTTTAAATGTCAAAGTAGGTCTGTTTATTCTGTGAACTTTCATGACCAAAGTTTACCAGTCATGTTCCTTGCGTCCAGTTACTATCTACTCCCATATGTAAATAAAAAAGTGATCATATAGTAACTAGCTAAATCTTTGGTGCTAATTCAGTCAGTTTGTGTAGTGTAGGCACGTGTAAAACTTGACTAAGAAACGGTTGTCGTAGACCAGTGGTGTCAGGTCTCATGTGATTTGACCGAAAAACAATTTTATCAGTGTATTTACGGCAGCAAATTCGTTCATGTTCTCAGTACATGCAAATGTAGCTGATAAATTCTACATGTAAATCCATTGGATTAAGTAGACAGAAGAGTAGTTGTATTGTATTTTAGTGTTTCTTCTTTAAAACTCATCTGTTCGCAACTGATACCTGCTTTGGCAACATTAATTGACCTAATAATATCCAATATTAAACTAGATTGTATGAAGTTGATCCAGTTTTTAAAAGTTAAACTGGGTAAGAGTCACTTCACATCCTGTGCTAATTAGTCCTTAAGTATACCTTTGTTCAAACATTTAGCACATTAAAAACCTAGTGGACATCTAAAATAGCTTGTTGTTAGCCTGACAAAATAATTCATGACATTGTATCATCAAATTGTCGCAATAAAAATCTCTGTTACGTGTATGTAAATTTCAAAAGCCGAGTTTTTCATCCTCAAGTCAAATAATTTGATAATTGTCGCACTTTTTTAATGTTTATTGGGTACTGACACATGCCTTTTCAAAGCTTTTTTGAACGGATTTTACTACTATACATACATTATCAATCATTTCAACTATTTATGTACTTTATGAATCTGATTATAGGTACACTACCAGAGCATATTAGATTCTTATTATGTCTAGCAACTCCTTCAGAAATCTGGCTTCTCGGTATGATGTACTCAAATACGAACAGTAATCATACACTCAGAATGCAGTCTTCCTGTCCTATTCTGGAAGTAATGCCAGATCCTCTCTATTGCTTACCGACTGAAAATAATTACATTTCTTGCATTGAAAGTACACCGAACGGCAGGTAATCTATAGAATTTTTAAATGATTGTTTCACTCTTGTTAACTCAGTTTATCCGTTTTATTTGTTGAGTTATACATTCATGAATCTATTATATAAAGCACTCAATTTTTTCACCATCAGTTTGCAGATCCAAATTCCATCTACCTGGATCTAAGAGACTTTTTTGTTTTGTTTTTCATTTGTTAACTCATTTACCAAGCACAGATTTATTTAATTGACTTCGCATAACGCTCCAGTTGAGAGAGCTATTGCTACCTCCTGTTATTCAAACTGATCTCAATGGGGTGAGATTGGAATCTACAACGTACTAGATGAACATCGAACCCCTTAACCACTGAGCCACTTCACTGGAAAGTTATGTGGTACCACTAGTTCTCATATAATGTGACCCGAAGTTAGGTAATGTGAACCTGTACTTTTTAAATGAGTTGCATTAATTTACCTTTTAAGGAAAAACGCATTGATAAAGATATGTTTGCTACACTTATCACTCTTAATGTTCTAACGGGAATTGCAAGGTTTCCTTTGCAGAAAAAGATTAACTAATCAGGTATGAATACAATATGATAAGTTATTATCTATAATTATCGTCCTATTCATCGCTTTCTCTATAGGATATTTCTTGGGACTCGTGAAGGATTTCTCTTGGAAATGACTTATAGTTCAATACCCAACTGGGATGGTGATTCCTTACAACCACCCATTGGTAAAACTGGACATTGTACGCTTGTGAATCATTCCGTGTCTGCATTCAGCTTGTTGTTGCCTTCAATAATAACTTCTAGATTTCATAATGGCGGTAAGTTTTCATACCATAAGGTAAATTTTTGTTCAGTGATTCGTTTTTTAGTTCTATCAAGTAGAAGATACGAATAGATACCTCCCTATATTGCTATGTTATAGCCTATTTAGAATTAAAAAGACTGTTTATGGGCTATGTTGGCCTTTGAGTCACTACTAACTACTTGAACGACCATAAAGCGGTGACTTAGTGTTTAAAGTACATTATAATGCCTTCATAAGATATGTTATTGCTTTTTTTCTAACCAGATTCAATCACACAGTTGACTGTAGATACCTCGCGACATCTACTTTATTCTCGTACTGAGGATTCCCATTTAATGGTTTATGAATTTTCCGACAAAATTTCTGGTTCTTTTTCACGTTTATCTTCATTATCTGCATCAGATCTGGCTTATCAAGCGTCTTGTATAGTACGTTCTGTAGACAAAAATCAATTCCGAAAGTAAGCAATACAGATGTTTTCATTTAGTTCTATTCCTCCCATATTGTTAACGGTTTTCGAATTTCTTGCAGGCATAAAACAGCATTTTTGAGGCATTGGGACTAGTACACACAAACCTTTGTGTGAGTTATTAAGTTGCAAATAAAAAAGCTTTTAGTGGTAGTTTTTCTCTAAGGCATAACATCTGATCAGAGTAACACCAGAAGGTTCGATTTGTTTATGATAGGTTCGTAAGTAAATACTACTAGCGTTCTAAATCAGGATGAAACAGAAACTACAGGGTGACTACATCAATATTAAACACTGACTATATCCTTAAATCTTAATGCTCACTGTAGGATTGTTATATTGATCGGACAAAATAATAGAGAAATATTTTCTTCAAAGCATTATCTCACTTGGATGGCGACTATTTGTAGTGTAACCAAGTGCTTGTATTCTGTTTTTTTTAGAAGTCCGCTTAACTTATTTCTTCATTTAATGTCTTACATGAGACATTTATTTATTGTTTCAACATTAATTATGCATATGGCAATTGTTAAGCTTCTTTTTTCTTAAAAATATATTACACAATATTTCTCGTCACTTAATATTACTGCTTTCTTGACCTTTACAATTACATTTCTATTAAACAGTATAGTTTCTATTATACCATTAACAACTGGTCTATGCTATTTGTTGGCTATTACAAAAACTGGTATTCGTTTGTATTTCGGAGAGAATCTACGCTTAATGCATATAAGGCTGCCTCCTTCCTCACCATATGACACTATCGGTTTAAGTGATGTAAAGTAAGTCAAATATATTACTTTTTTGGGAGAGGGTGGATTGGGTTGGGAGTTGGTTTTGATTATCTACCAATAATGTTTGTCTGTCTTTGTAATCTGATCCGATTGTTTTTTTTATATTGCGAATACATTGAATTATATATTTACATTTAATGGAGGCTGAAACAATCCGATGCGTTATTTAGTTTCTTCTTGTAAAATTAGAATGTTTTTTTGTAATTGTTAAGCACTATCCATTCACAGCGTCTTGGTGACACTAAAATAAACCATGATATCAGTTCATTACTGAGCCGTGTGAATAGGTGCTAACTATCTGGTTTGAGTTTACATGATTATCGTAACCATTAGTTAGTAGAGACGTTGCGCGTATACAGCCTCTGCCAGGGAAGTCCTACTCATTGCCTTCTCGTGGCGGGGGTGTTGTTTACGAAAATGAGAGGACGAAAAGCGAATGTCCGGCGCTTTAACCGGATTCCAAACCAATGGTGCACATGGGCTCCAGTATCCTGCGGGAACAAATGGCGTATGAACCAATCTTTGGTCACCGGCTACCATGGGATTGCATCTCCTTACGATGCTCCACTGCCTTGTGGGTTAGACCTTTAGGTCTAAGGCTCGGGGAGTGGCCCCCTAAGAAAACCACCTGCTTCGGTTTGGGCACCCGGGCAGTATCACAGCCCACACACAAACGATGAACTCTATGTCTTTGGCAACTACTTTTATCGCTCCGAAAAACAATCAGTCGATTCAAATAATTATCATTACTATTATTGTCATTATTAATACTATTATTATTACTATTATTGTCGTTATTATTATTATTATTATTATTATTATTATTATTATTATTATTATTATCATTTCCCACATTATTCACCCTCCTTTATACTTATACAGCGGCTCGTCTTTGGTGGAAATCCGACTGTATCTAAACGTTCTCGAGTCACTGTCCGGTTGAAAGTTGTATGTTACCATCGAATATGAGTACTGAAGCAGTTTTTCTGAAACCACGTGCGCCATTCAAACTGGCTGCCTTCAACGTTCGCACACTTATGCAGGTTGGTCAACAGATAGGGCTGGCTATGTCTTTGGAAGGTCTTAATATTGATGTTTGTTGTCTATCCGAGACCCGTATTCAAGACTCTAGCGAAGTACTACAAATTCGCTCTACATCTGTCACTTCAAAAAGCTTGTTTTACGTGCGCTTATCCAGGGACCCTGTGGCATCTTCGTCTGGTCTTGCAGGCGTTGGTGTCGCACTAAGCGCTAGAGCTGAGGCAGCACTAGTCGATTGGATCCCCATTAACAGTCGGTTATGTGCTGTTAGATTAGAAAGTTCCATCAAAGTGAGAAGAAATCGGCGTGAGAAACGATGTCTTTTCGTCATCTCCGCCTATGCCCCGACAGATTGCAGCCCGGATGCAATCAAGGATGAGTTTTACCACCAGTTATCTGTTCTTCTCCAGAAAGTGCGTTCGGCAGATATTGTAGTACTAGCCGGAGACTTGAATGCTCAGGTCGGGCGTCTAGGCACAGAAGAGAGTCGTTTAGGTGGCCGATGGGGACTCGTTGGTCTCAGGTCAGATAACGGGGACCGTCTACTACAACTTTGCACAGACCACAACCTGTTTCTGGCTAGCACTAACTTTCGGCACAGTCATCGCCGATGTGCCACCTGGCGTCCTCCCTCTGCATCCCAAGCCTGGACTCAGATTGATCACATCGCGATCAGCTACCGCTGGCGTGGTTGTGTACAAGACTGCCGCTCCTTTTGGAGTACCTATCTGGACTCTGACCATGCCTTGGTCTGCGCCAATCTTGCCTTACTTTTCAGTGGCCAACGAAGTGACGGCTACCAAAAGATTGATGTTAGCAAGCTGGTTGCAACTTCTGTTGCAAATAAGTATCGAACCGAGCTAGCCTCTAGGCTAGCTACCACTCCACCGAAAAGTATAGATGAGCATTGGTTGCAATTGCATGGCGCCATGAAAATGGCGGGAACAGTCAGTTGTGGGTTTGCGAAACGTCCCGCTTTTAAGCACTGGGTTTCTTCTGGTTCCTTACAACTCATTGAAGCCCGCCGGTCTACTCCGGGTGACCGTGAGTTTGACCACAAACGAAGGATGTTATGTAAGGAAATCGGGCAAAGCTTGCGTAAGGACCGAGAAGCCTGGTGGTCGAAGCGTGCTAATGAGCTGGAAGCAGCAGCTGCAACTGGTAACTGCCGGAAGCTCTTCCAGCTCATCCGAGCCACTGGCAGCAAGAAGTCTGGTGTGAGTGAAACAATCTGCGAGGATGACGGGATGCGAATCACTAACATCCATCGACGTCTTGGACGGTGGGCAGAATTTTTCGAAGGGCAGTTCAACTGGCCTGCTGCTCCGGCAACATCGGTCAGACTGTCCTGCCCTCCATGGCCGGTGACGACTGATCCACCAAACGAGGAGGAAGTCCGCAAGGAACTCCAACTCTTGAAGCGTTACAAACCACCTGGCCCAGATGACTTACCTCCGGCTCTTTTTAAAGATGGTGGTGACTTTTTGACTAAGGAATTGACGACGTTGTTTACAAAGGTTTGGGAATTAGAGAGTGTACCAACGTCATGGAATGAGTCGATAGTTGTCCCTATCTTTAAAAAGGGTTCACGTCGTTCCTGTAACAACTATCGGGGGATAAGTCTACTTCCGATCGCGTCCAAGCTATTGGCGTCCGTCATACTTCTTAGGTTGTTCAAAACCCGAGAAAGATTGACTCGCGAGGAGCAGGCTGGGTTTCGTTCTGGTCGAGGATGTATTGATCATATCTTCACCCTCCGCCAAATGTTAGAACACCGCCATACTTATCAAAGGCCAACAATCGTAGTGTTTCTTGACATCAGGGCTGCCTTCGATTCGTTGGACAGAACTGTTCTCTGGGATTGTCTATTGAAGAAGGGTGTGCCTGAGAAGTTTATTAACATCCTAAAAGCCCTATATAAAAACACCTCAGGCAGAGTGAGGGCATACAACCACCTTTCTCCATTGTTCCATTCGAGTAGTGGGGTTAGGCAGGGTTGCCCAATCTCACCATTCCTCTTCAACTTTGCCATCGATGACATTCTGGAAACAGCTCTGATGGATGTAAGTAATGGTGGTGTGAATCTGTTGCCTGGAGAAAGACTTCTCGACCTTGAGTATGCGGACGATATTGTCTTACTGTGCGATAATGCCCAAGGCATGCAATCCGCACTTAATCAGTTGGCAATCAGTGTCCGTAGGTATGGTATGTGCTTTGCACCTTCGAAGTGCAAAGTACTCCTACAAGACTGGCAGGATCCTAATCCTGTACTCATCCTGGATGGTGAGCAGATAGAAGTAGTCGAGAAGTTCGCGTATCTGGGTAGCTGCATAAGTGCTGGTGGGGGTGTGAGTGATGAGATTATGCACGTATAGTGAAAGCCAGAGCGGCTTATGCCAATCTGGGCCATCTATGGCGCCTTCGTGATGTTAGTCTGGCTGTAAAAGGTCGGATCTACAACGCGTCGTTGAGAGCAGTTTTGCTCTATGCTTGTGAAACCTGGTCTCTCCGAGTTGAGGACATTAGACGACTCTCTGTGTTCCATCATCGCTGTCTCCGAAGGATTGCTGACATCCGGTGGCAACACCATGTCAGTAATGCAGAGGTTCGGCATCGTGTGTTTGGGCGCAGAGATGATAATTCAATTGGTGTGACCATCTTGAAACACCGACTTCGGTGACTTGGACATGTTCTCCGAATGTCGTCTTAGAGAATTCCACGTCGTGCATTATTTGCCGATGGTGGGACTGGTTGGAAGAAGCGGAGAGGTGGTCAGTGCATGACATGGTGTCGTGGCATGAAAGAAAGCTGCAAAGGACTGGCTTGTGTTGGTCCTTCACGGCTCCCTGGTTGGGGTCTGAGAGATGGTGCTACACAGTGGCTAGAGACGTTATCAGATATGGCTCAGAATAGAAGCCAGTGACGATCCTGCTGTAACCTTCTTTTACTTTCTTCATAAAAAGTGGTTCTGTCTCCCTTACCTGAAAGATTTCTTCCGATTGTACCTTTGCGTTCCCTGATTACTAGCACATTACCTTACACCAATCTCTTCGTTATTGTTCTCTCTTTTTTTTGTTGCGCTCCTTAGCTTTTTTTTTCTTTCTTTGTATTCCTCTCGAATTTTCATTGTTTTGTGTGGCGTATTTATATTGGCGCTCTCCTGTACCAATATTCATGTGTCCAAATAAGAGACGTTGGATAACATGACTGAGGATAAGTTGCACTGGCTCAGTTGTATACATTTGTCATCATACCATACCGCTTTTCTCATCGATTTTTCTAGCCCATTTTAAGCTATATATCACTAATGTTTATTAAGCCTTGAAATTATTTCCGTTCCTGTGATGTTATCATGAAATTGATTTCTTCTTTACTCTATTTCTGTTCGAGGGAGCATGTTAATCCCAAACCAGTTTGTTTCTTATATATATACCTCGGGAAGATAAAAAAAATCTTACAAGATAGACAGAAAGAAGGGAAGATCAGTTGTTCTCTTTGCATGAACAAATTTCGATTACCAATTGTATTCTTCATCTCTCTTCCATTAATTTGTACTATTATTAATATCACCATCATTATTATTACGATCGTTTTGATGGCTTTTTTATGTAACCATTGTTGAGCTCCATGTTTCACAGTAGGAAATCTGTTACTTGAAGTCGTGTAACTAACAACCTGTTATTCACTCAAGTTGTCAACATTCGAAAGCCCATGTCATCAAATGACCAGTTAACTTTACTGTCAAATTTAATATTCTTGACCAATTACAGATGTGAGGTATTTGCAAAGATCGCAGATAGAAAACCAATTTTCTAATTTGTTGGTGTTATAAATATTTTATTTACAGGCTGGCAGTGGAAACTCGTGGTACAGTGATTATGGTGTCTGCTTTACCACAAAATGTACCATCTACCACTAGCACATTGGGTGGACTTGGTTCTCGATATACAACAACAACACGCTCTGCTGCTACACTAAACCAGTCCAGTTTAAATATGAGTTTAGGACAGTTTTTCACAACGGATCTTGACAATAGTAGTAGTAGTTACAAGGCGGCAGCGGTACTTAATCAGTCTGATGATAATTTAAATGCCTTTACAAAACAAATGCCACCACACGTTATCTATACAATCAGTCCGGATTTGTACCCTTGGACACTGAACTTAACGGAGAGTTTTACGACTAGTTGGTGTGTTGATGGTGGTGCATGGGCGTTAACAGTTTTACCGGATAATCAATCATTTGGAGATTCTATGGGAAATGATTTAAGTGGATATTTAGCAATAGAAAAAAGGTAAATGAGGTTTTCTGTGTGTTCTGTCTTCTTTCTTAACCTTCAGTATCATTTTTAGTTGTACAAATAGACAGATAAAGAAGTCATTCAATCATAGATGACGCGAAACCTAGCTTATATGTTCATTTATTCATGTTTTGGTTTAACTGTTCCTAGATTTCTTCTAGCCTACCTGTATACCTGACAACATTTCCCGTCGAGATAAGTGGTTTTTCACACATATATATTTCCTAATCACCTCATTCAATGAAGATGTACAACCTCATCAATTTACTCTCCATTCTTACCCAGTACTCTGCATCTAACCTCAGTTTGGCTTACTTAGCGGTTCTAATACATACCTGCAGTGCTTCGAAGATGTCTGTAATCAAATAATTGTAACCTAAGAGTATCCTCCATTTGTAAAGACCGCGTTCTAACAGCTACAAAGTAGAATGGACCAAACTACCGCGCAGAATACCCGTCCTTTGGTTAGTAGGTTGACATCTTGCATGCTTCACAAGTGATACAAGCTGATTAAAGTCAGTCTAGTTTTCTGATTTCATGCTAACGTTTTATCAGAAGTCAACCTACAAGGGCTAATGAAACACAATCATTGGCAGGATACAGTTAGATATGTATATTTGTAAATGAATTCTATGCTGTAATAGTCACGATTACATTAATACATTTATTTTTAAAAAGATATTCCTTCCAATTCTAAACACCATTTGAAGTAGTGCATGTAAAATGTCACATAATAAATGTGCGATCAATAATAGTTTAAAGTTTTGTTTATCCAACCATCTGAGATGATGAACACTTTAGTTAGATTGATGCTCTGTTAACTTTTGGAAGGAGATTCTTTACATCTATTTATGACCAGACTCAACAGTGTGATGTATGCAGTAATTAATTATGGGACCGTGATATATTTTATCTACTGTATAGTCCCACACCAGTGCTCAGACTAACATTTGTTTTAGAGTTAGATGTGAACTTCTTAGTTTCTATCTCCAAGGTGATCGTAGCATATTTTTGAAGGGGTTATATAAGTTTATTTATTTATTTGAACATATAAACATTAGTACAAGAAGGCGCCAAATATATATGCGCCTCATAAGTCATTCGATTTGCGTGAGGGCTGGAACACTGTCCGGGTACCAAAACCGACGCAGATGGTTTTCTTAGAGGGTCCCACCCGCAACCTTCAACCTAAAGGTCTGATCCACAAGGCAGTGGAGCATCGTATAGAAATGCAGTCCCATGTTAGCCGATGGTCAACGATTGGTTCATACGCCATTTGTTCCCTCAGGATCCTGGAGCCCATGCGCACCATTAGTTTGGAATTGTGGTTTTCCAACTCCTCTAGGTTGACTCTCTGTGTCCACCAATCCGGTTAAAGCGCCGGACATTCCTATCAACTTCGTAAACAACACCCCCAGCGAGAGAAAGCAATGAATGGGACTTCTGTGTCAGTGGCTGTTTACGCGTGTTCATATGAGTGCATTTGAAGACAGAGCGAACTCTCCCCACCCTCGGCATTTGGGGGCGGTTATATAAGTTCGATATCATTTACTCATTTATTTTTCCATGTTGTTCGCTTATTTACAACAGTATTGTTTGTATTTTACTTCATTTTATTTGGCGTCTATTATTGCCGTCTGTTTGTCTTGCTCCATTTTGTAGCTGTCGTTTCTCACTATGCTTATATAAACGGTAACAATCTAGGCAGACATCGGTACACTATTTAGCAGATCCCACCCTGTCTATGATTCACTGGTTGTCTTGGTATCAAGATCATTCGTTAGGTTTTCTGTTTTGCGACGTTCTCATTAGACTAGGACAATTGACGACAATGTGATTCCACGCGTATATTTGATTTTTGATGGTTAGAAGTACTGGACAAGTAATTTTCTCTGGCCTTTAAAATATACTTTTATTACTGAAGCATGTTTTTTATAAAACATGTGATGGAATATTTCAGTCATAATAGTTTCATAATAGTTGTTCAATGCTAGTGTTAGATAATTTACTTCATTCATGAAGTAAATCGCCATTTTTTCTGAATTTCTTTCTTGATTTTATCATTACAAGTTAATGCAATCACTCAGTTTTACCTACCTTCAGGTTTTACACGTTTACAACAGTGATTTATTTATTTCTTTGCCTTAGGATTTCAAGTTGCTCAGAGTCTTCACAATCAGAGAAACGTCAATCATTACGTCGTGGCGAACCTCCAGTTGTGTTGACACAGATTTTAGATCCACCATTTCGACGTTTATTATTAATATCTGCTCAAGGTGTCGTACATTTTCGTCTGGCTAACCCATTAACTCGATTAAGAGAATATTTATCTCGTGAATTCTCTAATACTTCTTCATTGTTACCAGGATATGGTGATCCTCAGTTATCTGATATGATTCCTAATTTTCCAAGTTATTTAGAGAATGATTTAAAGTTAGGCGTGGAAGGTAGCGGTAGTTATCTAGCCGCATTTTTACATCAATTCAGTCCAGATGAAGCTATTTGCGCTGCATTAGCAATAGGCGCCTCTACTACAGTCTCAGGTGGATTAAGCAAAAATCTTCAACTTGTTGCGGAACAAGTAAATGTTTATGACTGGTTGTTTATTTTAATAAAACTATGTCGATTGATGTAAAATACAGATAATAGTGTTCATTATTATTCAGTTGACGATATATACACTTATACATAAACAGCTCACTAACTACGAGTTTATTTTGTGTACGTATCTCTCGGTTCTTTTACAGTTGCACTGAATTTGATGTTTATAATCATGAATTCAAATTCGCTTTGTTCGGTTCAAAATTGAATCAAAAGATAGCCTTGACCACTTTTCTTCTCTGCTTACGCTCATGTTCATTTTTCACGAGTGAATACATGTTCTGTATTATAGGCTGTTATGTGGTTCGAAACCTTGAAGCGAATAAAATGAAAGATTCACTGTAACTGAACTCCTAAGTATAGAGAAATATAAAAACAGTTTAAAATGTTTATTATAACTGCTGGGATCACCGGGTAAGTAATAGTAAGGTTAGAAGTAGGATATTAGGAAATGATGGTAAATCAGTTGATGAGGTTGTTAATCTTCATCGACTGAGATGGTTGGGCCACGTGTTACGTATGCCTGAACACCGATTACCACGTCGTGCAATGCTAACCGGTGTTGAGAATAGTTGGAAGAAATTTAGGGGCGGCCAAACCAAAACGTGGCATCAGTGCTTGAAGTCACTATCTTCTAGTCTTAACCATGTTGGTAGATGCAAACTACTTGGTTGGGGTCCGCGTGACTATCGTATCAAGTGGTTGGAGACTGTGGGTGCCATGGCTCAGAATCGATCACAATGGCGTCGGTGTATACACTCTCTGTCTTCCCTTAAACTATGAGATTAAAATCATTTCATATCTTTCTTTCTACGAACTAATCCTTTCTCCTCGTATCATATCCTTATATGCAATCTTTCTTTTATATATTACTACCACTACTTCTATGAATCCGGTGTTCATCTTACTGTGCTAATGCGTTATGGCAACTTGGACGGATGCATATATGTGCCTGGTCCTACGTTGTAGCTGACTGATTGACTGAGATCAACGATATCATAGAGCGATATATGGATTGATAGTTTCGTAAAAAAAGTTTAAACTTGTCATTCTCAAGAGTACAAATTTCAGGATAACAGATTCAGTTGAACACAGTTTGTTTATAAATTTGTAAACAACAATTTTGAATGTCAATTCTTGTCTGAGTCTGGTAAAAATTCTTTCAAGAACTCTTGCATATGTTAACAGTACTCTTAGATGCATAAATGCTTAATAATAATCAAACGTTTACTTCACTCATTAAAGCATATATACGAAATACTATTGTTTATATGATTTGTTGTTTTGCTCGATGTTATCTTAAATTATGGAAGTGTTTCTAATGTTTAACTTCTTCCAGTTAAAATGTAAATGATTATTGTTCTGGAATATTCAGTCATATGTATACTTAATTTAAAGATTTCCTACAATTCGCTTCCACGCTTTCATCAATGTTTAATTGGTGCTATGATATACTCGATAATCGTAGGTTATCAGACTTACAATTAACTGGACTGATATATTCCCAACACGTATGAAAGATATCTGTGTCATTGAAAGTAACTGTAAAACATTCAGTTTGTCCTGCATATATATATATCAGTGAAAATGGTACCACATCATGTTATCAGAAAACACGGATTTGACACTTTTAAAGGAAACCGTTAAACCAAATAGCATTTATTATATTTTATAAATTAATCATGAAAATCTTTCAGTCGAGTTAAATAAATTTCTTGAAACAACTGCTGTCAATATTCAACTAAGCCTATGCATTTATCCCATGAATACCGGTAATATTAATCTGTCCTTTGTATAGAATAGATGGGTTCTGACCAAGAATGAATTCTAAGTCTATCGTTTCATCCTATTCGGCATTCGTCAGTTGAATGTGTCTGTATCTCCCAGTGTTGATGTCCACACTGGGAATTAAGCCCAGTATGAAACACGGATCCTGAATTCCACAACTAACTACAATTTATCTATTTAAGAAATCGTGGCAAAATGTCTTTATCCAGGCTATCCGCATAGAATGATGCACATATATAAACAAATGTCTATTCAAATTTGGTCAAGAATATCAGCGACAGGATAATTCAATGATATGTTGTTTTCGTATATGAAATGTTTAGATGCTCGTATTTATGAACTGTTACATATTTTTCCGATTGTTAGACTGCGTTATATTTTGCTGCTAAAGCCAGTCAATATTGGACTCCAGCAATAATTCGAACACGCGCTCCTAATCTATCTTACATCCAATCTCGTCAACAATTATCTTCATCTACTACTACTACTACTGCTCGTGGTACAGAAGATAGGTCAATCAATGGTGCGCTTCATCTATTCAGTGGAATTTGTTTGTTCTTAGCACGGATTGCACGTTCATTTTGGAGATATTCCATGTTTTATGATGCAACTAGTATATGTTCTAAGTGTAATGTTAAATCAATGTCCAGAATAAAAAATACTACTACTAATAGTAGTAATGGAGGATTAAGATCATGGGTTCGTAGCCTAATTTATACTTTATCAACTGTCTCAACATTTGGCGGTGGAAAATCGAACACATCATCAGTTGAACAAATTGTAAGTATTTGGACTCTTTTATCTTATGTATTTCATAATTTATAAAGATATTTTAATGCTTGAACTGTGATGTACAGTCATTTTTCCATATTGATGTATCTTGAATTTCAGTAAACAAGCTAAATATCACGTACTATCGAAGTGGATGATCGCTTAATCATTCAAACAATAAAATTTCACCCATTAATTTCTATATTGAAACGTTCCTCTCTCTACTTATGTTTGAGCAGTCGGATAATATTAACAATACTCTCTTCAATAGTAGTCATCATTATATTTGTATGTGGGCTGGGATATACTGCCTAAGTATCGGGAATAAATCAGGTTTTTTCATTGGAGGAATAATACAAAAGAGATACAGTCGCATGGTAGCTGGTGATCGAAACACATGCACACACTATTCGTTCACTCAGAAGCTCGTAAACATCAATGATCTGAAATTAAGGTTTTCCAACTTCCCTCAATTTATCCGTGTCCACCAACTCAATTTAGGCGCTCAATTTTCATTTTACTTTCGTAAAAATGTACCGCGTGTAGACAGTTAGTAGGACTTCCTTAGAAGCTATTGTCAGGGGATTAGGGCTAGTGGATTCTACTCACTCTCCACCTTACAAGAGAATTGGATTGCTTACTATCAATATTTATTATTTATATATTTAAACACATAAACAATGGAACAAGGAGGCACCAAATAGATATGCGCCACATAAATCATTCGATTTGTGTAAGGGTTGGGATATTGCTCGGGTGTCGAGACTGAAGCAGGTGGTTTTATTAGGGGGCCACACCCCGAACCTTCGACCTAGAGGCCCAATCCAAAAGGCAGCAGAGCAACCTCAGAAGATGCAGTCTCATGATAGCCGGTGACCAATAATTGGTTCGTACGCCATTTGTTCCCTCAGGATCCTGGAACCCATGTTCATCACTGGTTTGTAATCAGGATTTTCCAACTCCCCTAGGTGGATCCTCTATATCCACCATACTATTAATAACTCAGAACTTGTATTTTGATGGCGAGTATGCAAACTTATATCAGTCAGTCAGTCAGTCAGTCAGTCAGTCAGTCAGTCAGTCAGTCAGTCAGTCAGTCAGTCAGTCAGTCAGTCAGTCAGTCAGTCAGTCAGTCAGTCAGTCAGTCAGTCAGTCAGTCAGTCAGTCAGTCAGTCAGTCAGTCAGTCAGTAACAACGTAGAAATTCGTACGTACGTACATCAGTTCGAGTTGCCACACCACATTAGCACAGAGATGCAGTTGTCGATTCAAATCCCGTAGTGGTAGAGGTAATAAGAGTATAAGCAGTAATCGGGAAAATTAGTGTTTGGAGATTTTATTTAAAGAGTATAATACAGTGAAATAAATTTGGGAAGCGAAAAAGAAAGAGACAAGGAGGAATAAGGAGATCAAAATTTGGGAGAACACAGAGAGTGGATGCACCTGCGCCATTGCAAACGATTTTGAGCCATACCATTCAAGGTCTCTAACCATCGGTTGCTATCATCTCGTGGTCCCCAACCAAGGTAGTCTACACCTACGAACATGACTCAGTCCACTTGTCAATGACTTCATGGACTTGTGTCATGTTTTGGTCTGGCCATGCCTAACTTTCTTCCAACCTACTCCCATTCCACTGAACATCGCACATCCAGGCAGTCGGTCGTTGTGGATACGTAACACGTGTCCCAGCCATCTCAACTGATGAAGTTTCACTACTTCATCAATTGATTTGCAATCCTTACCTAGTACCTGTTTCCTAACAACTGTGTTACTTACTCGATGGTCCCAGGATATACGAGCAATATTTCGAAGACACCTATGATTGAATACTAGTAACCTACGGATATCCTCTACTCTTACCGGCCATGTTTCACTGCCATAAAGTAGGACGGAACGAACTGCTGTGCAGTAAACACGTCCTTTGGTTGATGGACGGATATCTCGCCTACTCTATAATTGACGCAAGTTGACAAAAGCTAGTCGAGCCTTCTGTATCCGTGCTGAGATTTCGTCACACACCAGACCACAAGAGCTCAAGAGACTTCCAAGATCAGCGAAGCGATCGACACGCTCAACTAGTTCACTCTCTATCATTAGTTCGGGTGTCGATGCAACTCAATCCTGAAGCAACATTTGTCATTTCGAGGTGGGAGAATCGCATGCCGAACATGCTTGCATTGTTGCTTAGAGTGGTTAGAAGACTCTGCATTTTGTCAGCGTCTTCACGAAACAGAACTATGTCATCAGCATATTTTAAGTCAACAAGTGAACCTCCCGGTAGAAGTTCAACTCCTGGAAATTTAGATGAGGAAGGTGTTATGGGTTTCCGTTATACAAACTGTTTGTGTTTGCTTGCCATCTAGCAATGATTATCTTAAATCAGAGATAAATGATTCCTAATGCTTTTTTTACGTATCACCTGTGTTGATATCATATCAAATGAAAACGATGTGTGCACTGATATTATCTACTTGTGTTTTCTGCATGCATACTACGTGGTTACTTTGAAGAACAAATAGTAGTAGTGAGTAGTTAGACAAGTAGTTCAAATTCAAGGTGATCTCAAGTGCTGTCGGAAGTTTAAGGGGGGTTATGACTTAACGGTTGCCCATACAATGGAGAAATATTGCTTATTACGGTAGGTAAAAAGGAAACTGGATTAAGGGTTTTCTTTTGGTCATTTAAATGTTACCACAGTGCACATAGAATGTCTACTTGAAGGTGGTTATATAACTTTCTAGCGAGTAGTTCTTAATGTATCAGCTCTGCGCTTCGAAGTTCCTTACCGTGAGGTAGGCTTTTTTAGGCAGATGTTTTTTAAACCCTATCATGATGAAAACTTTAAAACGAACTGTTGCTCTAATTTAGCCAGATCACGTAAAATACGGTTTCTGAGTTGGGGTAGGTCCGTTAATGTTGTTTAATTGATTAGGGTTGAATAGATATACTTATACTCATTAATAAAATATACAAAGTGAATAGTTGTATTTTTGTACAACAACTCTCTTATCCATTTACCGTCCTTGTAAGCTGTTTAGTAAAAAAATTTTTGTTCTGGATCATTTATTTAATCGTGTTCTTGTCATACTACTTCATTATATTCGGTCATATTTTAAATGTGAAATACCGAGTGATAATTTACATTGTTTTCATAGCTTGAATTATTATTGTTATAAACTCTCTCTTTTCTTACGGTTATGACCCAGCTATTCCTATTGCTTAGTATTCTTGGACACCGATTCACTCGACAAGACCCCAAATCAGAACACGGTTGAACAAGAAAGAGATTATATTCCAAATAACAAGGTTAGATGGAAGCAAGATGCAAGCCAGAAGCACGATAGAGAAAACGTCAGTATATTTATAGTTTTTACATGAGAAGATTCTAGAGTATTCTCCAACTATCGACTAGTGCTGATTAGATAAGAATGAGCCAATCAGCGTGCACCAAAGCAATCCTGCATTGAGCTTGCTTTAATCTAGTCTATGTCCCGCTAACAATTATGAGAACTGAATTTTCAAGACGTTGAAAGTTCATGTGTATACTCATTGTAAAATCAATTCAGTATAGATATTTTGAAACGTTTCTGATTAGTAAGTACGCAAATTGTGTTGCGTTTACCAATCCTCCTACTTCACTCTTACATGTCACCTAGACACGTCAAAATTTGATGGAACTACTTCATTGTTAATGGTTTATATCAAATGTGATAACATATACGTTTTTCTTGTTTCAATTAATGTACTTCTTCGTGCTAGGTAGATTTAGATTCATAATAAGCTGAACTATATTTATTGTAATGTATTATTTAACGATTTCACCATATTTGTTTTAAATTTTAATGAATACATGTTCCGTCGGTGATATTTTCTAAAACAGATAATTTCCCGTTTGGAAACATCTGAAATTTCATGGTTACGTAATCAAATCATCTATTTACAACAATTAATTCAACGTCAATTAAATATTCGTGGTGGTTGGTTTCGACTGTCAACATCGCATCATTCCATTGGAAATGTCAATGGTAATATTCATTTAGAGTCTACACTATCAGATAATCCTACTAGTTTAAATACTGAAGAGCATATGGATGAAGTGGCACTTCAAAGATTAGCTGAAGAATTACATCATTTATTGTCTATGATTTCAGAGATATTAGGGTTTTGGGAGATATTAAGTGAACATGTAGTTCACAAGATTATGAAGTATGTTGTTTCATATTTAACTCATTAATTTGAAATTTTAACTGAATAAAACGAAAATACTTTCAAAGTATGAAATTCATTAGGTATATGTCATGTACTTCAACTGTCTAATATTCTCTAACCATGATACTTCACTCAAATCTTCTTAAATTAAAACAAGTTTTAATAGAAAATAACCAATGTTCAGTAATAGAATCGTTTTTACTTCTCTATTCTTTCACTAATGCTTATTGGTCAGTTGTAGTTCGAACAGGAAATTCTAATTTGAGCTAGATCAGAATATTCAATAGTTAGGATATTATCCTGTTGACAGTATTATTGCTTTTATTGAACATTTATAGTTCTGTATTGAAATTGTTACGACGTGCAGTATTCGAATCTGATACTGATGCACAAACTTCCTTTTCAGAAGCCTCCAACTTGCTACTGGATGAAAAAAAACTAAGAATGAAGAAGGAAGTTGATTGGGTTAGACCGAATACAATACATAAATACTCTTATATATATGTATATATATGTCTAGTCCTCAGAAAATAAGACTAATTCTTGTCCAATAACATGGGATTGTCATCAGGAAATTTTTGGTTAGCACAACACGACCTCATTTATCGAATTTTGATTAGCACACTGTATCGTAAGTCAGTATCATTTGAAAGTACCGAACAGTCAACCATTATTGCCCAACTTTCTGGAAGGAAACGTGTAAAATTTCGAAATTTGTTAATAGAATACTAGATCTTTGAAAAAATCACTCCTAAGGGTTAGATTATTGTGTTAACTGACTTGTTCTTCATACTGACCAACCACTAAATATATAACCTGATCAAATTCAGTTGGTAAATCAAGTCAGTATATTCAACCACTATGGAAATGGTGGAAAAGATTTGTAGCCTCAAATGTTGCTTCAGGAGTGCTTCTAACTAATATTCTCCAATAATATCTGTTCAACTGTAATGTCTATTCAACACACTAAGGCACTACTAGACATCATAACTAGTATTAAGTATGAATAATATACACATTCCCGAGCTATTTCAATAGATTGAAAATTTCACACCCTGAGTTGATTTTCATTCTCAAAACTTCGGTGATACTATAATTTATGGACGATCTTTGAGCGACGTTAAAGTTACCTTGACGATGTTCACCAATTTACTAGAGCTAAATGAGGTTTATAAACACGTGTGAAGAACAAACATTATGATTTATAATTGATGATTAGGATTAGGAATTAGATTTAGGGTTTTCATCACGAACTGACAATAAGCTAGAATGCCAAAACGCTATTTAGACGAGTGGATGAATGAATTTTGCGCCAAAATCCAAAACGTGTTATCCTAAATCAAATTGGTTCGTTTATAAATTATAGTCTCGCCATGCACTGATTTCATTAATTTACAATGTTTACAATATTTTGTTGTAGTCTGGAAAAAGAAAAGTAATACCATTGTTGTATAATTGATGAATCATAACGGAATTTATCCAGAATCCAAGCACAATTTTGTCGACATTATTTGGTGATGACTTATTTTTAAAGATTGTTGTAAGTGGTTTGTGGAGATTGTTAAGTTTAGACTTGTAAGCCATTGACTACTGAATTAGTGGTTTGAGTGTAGGTTTTTCGTCTCGAGACCTAAAAATTCTAAATCCAATCCCTGAGTATATATACTCCTGAAGAATCACAGTTGTCCAGTGTTCCTTGTTTCCCGATGACTGCTTAAATAATATTAATCTGTGATGTAAATTACTTCTTTATAATCTACCCCCTAATAACTGGACATTTCTCCCTTTCTTTGTAGACGACTGTCTAGTGAACATCGAGATTTAGCGCTTAAATTAACTATTGAAGCTTATATATCAAGTTTGTTAAACATTCCATGCATTGGATCAGTTATGAGCAACGTACAAACTTCATTAATTGGAGATAGTCGGATAAGTAGAAGTCCAATATCATCCACTGCTGGTAACGTAGGCATTGCCAGTCCAAACACTACTAATACTACTACTGGTAGTAGTGTTGGCTTCAATCCAACATCAAATCATACTGGTACTGAAGTTATGGGTGCATTAATTACCGCCCTAATTGAATATTATCTTGTGGAGGCAAGTGAAGAGTTAGAAGAAGAAAGTCGTAATATTGTCAATGCTACCATTACTACAAATAATCTAACTGTGGAAACTATCACATCACGTCTTCAATCCACTTGTCCTAGTTTATTTGCAAATGAAGATGCTATGTGCGCTAAAGCTAGCGAATGCTTAATCCAAGTAAATGAATGGGTGATAACTGTCTTATTCCTCTTATATTTTCATTATCTTGACGTCCTCTCCACTTAAAAACAGTGTTATAATATCCTTTTTAAATAGTGTTTTAGAGATAACACTCTCCTCGTCTAGATTTCCAGGGGTTGAACTTCTACCGGGAGGTTCACACTGACCAGACCAAAACATGGCACAAGTCCATGAAGTTACTGACAAGTGGACTGAGTCATGTTCGTAGGTGTAGACTACCTTGGTTGGGGACCACGAGATGATAGAAACCGATGATTAGAGACCCTGAATGACATGGCTCAAAATCATTCGCAATGGTGCAGGTGCATCCACTCTTTGTGTTCTCCTAAATTTTGATCTCCTTATCCCTCCTTGTCTCTTTTTCGCTTCCCAAATTTATTTCACTGTATTATACTCTTTAAATAACATCTCCAAACACTAATTTTCCCGATTACTGCTTATACTCTTATTACCTCTACCACTACGGGATTTGAATCGACAACTGCATCTCTGTGCTAATGTGGTGTGGCAACTCGAACTGATGTACGTACGTACGAATTTCTACGTTGTTACTGACTGACTGACTGACTGACTGACTGACTGACTGATATAAGTTTGCATACTCGCCATCAAAATACAAGTTCTGAGTTATTAATAGTATGGTGGATATAGAGGATCCACCTAGGGGAGTTGGAAAATCCTGATTACAAACCAGTGATGAACATGGGTTCCAGGATCCTGAGGGAACAAATGGCGTACGAACCAATTATTGGTCACCGGCTATCATGAGACTGCATCCTAAATTTTGTTAAACTAATTTAATAACGATATTTCAGCTGTATATATAGGTTTATATTCTGTCTCAACCTGTACATAAATAAAAAATGGCCATTCCCAAAACTTCACGAGAAGGTATCTAGAAAGTTGACACACTAGCCCAAAATCATCCTCAAAAACCAGAAAACAAACTATCCTGTCATATGTGAAAAGTAATTTGTTAACTTATTATTCACTCGCTCTTATCGTTCAGCTTTACTCAAACACATTATTGGAAACCTCTATCGTTTGTTCACAAACTTCTAGTTCAGTCTATGGAAAAGTGGCTCAATAATGGTTATGACGTTCAATTTTCAACCATTAAGTCACAGATTCTAACTATATTCCACCTACTTCAGTTTGAACAATAATTTATTATGACCTGCCCTCACACTTACAGTGTGACTTAAATTCAGGTTCATAAATATGTATCTGGTAAATGAGCTAAATAAGTTTAGAATATATATGGTGTGTGCTACTAATGCTGACAGATATAAGTAGTATAATTCAGCAATCAGGAGTGGAATGCCTGTCGGCATAAGACTGAACCAAAGTGACTTACGTTAAGTCACGAAACATCTGGAATGCAATGTTCTACTCGTTGGAATGTCACAAAGATTTATCATTAACTTTCTACTCAATGCTCAATTTATTTGAAACTATCAAGTCCAACCTTTTCATTGATACATTTAAATGCGCTACATAATTTTCACATAAAAATTCATTTTTTATAAACTTTTTTCTAAGGCATCTATAATTCGAACAAATCTTTTATCATCAATAAACAATGGAGAAAGTTTGAATGATATTCAATATGAGACTAGTCTTTCTGACAAGACACATATAGATCAATTGATTTCCGAAGCAATATTATTATATAGTGAAGCTGGACCTAGTATTAATTTAGACAATGCAGTGCATCGATTAGAAAGTTGTGGTGCATGGCGTGGTGCAGTGAAACTATGCTTATCTGTTGCACGTTCACGTGATCCATCCGATATAGCTGTGGATTGTTTAAAACGAGGTCGTCGTCCGTCTTCTGATCCAGTGATTGATTTTGATCACAGATTTACCAATCGATCTAAATTGAATCGAATTTATGCTGTTTCGGAATTAGCAGCCACAGAAGGCAGGTTAGTCATTAGTCCTTTGTGTCGATGTTTTACAGTTTCTCGATTATTAAGCTATTCAACTTAAATATAAAGCTTAATGTAACCCGTCCATCAAGTAAATACTTAAGAACTCAGTTTTAAGTCAATGTACTTAAGTAAAGATTAGCGATAATATCGTATGGTTTGAACCTACGACCTATTAGTTAATAGTTTAATGATGTATAATTACTAAAATACTGGCACACACTGGTAACTATTTTGTAAGATTTTGCAAAACGACACTAGTGCTGTTATATGTTTTTTTATCGATTGTCAATTATATAATATAAGGATGTGCATTTTCTCTACTGAAAAGTTACATTCTATGCTTATGGATGCTGAAAAACTCAGAAAACCGCTTAGTTATTTGCTTTCTTCAATTATAATTGGTTAGATATCTTATATTCTTAGTCTTAGCTGTTCGCAACAATAGCCATCTTTACTGTGATCAGTTAGTCAGTCATGTCCCGATCGAAACTGCTACCTTGACGCGGTGGTCGGGCTTGCCTATCGTGATGACCCAACCGAGCTATATTGGCTGGAACATATGTTCCTGTAGGTTCTACCATGCCAGGCAGGTCGATTGGAGAACGGTAAGACTAAAAGCAGCAACTCAAGGTCTGAGGGCGAAGTCGTACTGCTGACTGTAGAGAGGTGTGACAGCAGTAAGGTGTTTCCGTCGGACATCCAGCATGACAGCGATGCTGCCTTCCCACAAGGAGGGGTGGGGTTAGAAAAGGTCGACCCTAAAAATGTCACACCTCACCTTACCTCACGGATTTCCGTCTCCGGCGGTAAGGCCCTTTGAAGAACGGAGCTAACACGTCAAAAGCCTTCCACAAAAAGGCCGTGCGCGAACGGCTTCAAGCAGTTGTCCCTTGGGCTCTGCGGTCACGCTCCCAGGTCGTCAAGACCAACACTAATCCAATTTCCTTTTCAGGTTCCTCAAGAAATACCCTTCCACGGTGTGGGCAGCCGGGAAGTGATATCAGCCCTCATACCCGTAACAGCACAAGAGACCAAGGTGGTCACATTCAAATCCTTCCTACACCTTCTAATACCTCTCTTATCTCCCCGACTAACCCTCCCCACGTCTCTTTATCACCTCGCACCGCTAGGGCAAACGATTCGAGTACATGGAACGCCATTCCTGGCCTCCTGAAACCACGCTCTAAACTACACGTAGGAGCTTTTAACGTACGAACACTTTGCCAAATAGGACAGCAGGCTTCCTTAGCTAAAACTTTAGAATCTCGCGCCATCGATGTGTGCTGCGTCTCCGAAACGCGCATACAGGATCCAAGTAGCGTCATTCATTTGACCTCACCATGCCAAAATAAAGAACTGACTCGATTTACGCTTCGTGTATCTGGAAGCCCTGATTCTGCTTCCCCTGGCCTCGCCGGCGTAGGTATAGCATTGAGTCCTAGGGCAGAACTAGCTCTCTTAGAGTGGATCCCAGTAGACAGTCGTTTGTGCGCTGTCCGACTGAACGGAACAGTAAGAATCCGGAAAGATAGGGACACTCGTCGTTGCCTCTTCGTCGTCTCTGCCTATTCTCCCACTGACTGCAGCTCAGATGATGTAAAAGATAAGTTTTACAGAAAGCTTTCCGACCTTCTCCGAAAAGCTAAGCGCTCGGATGTAGTAATAGTGGCCGGTGACTTTAATGCTCAAGTAGGTAAACTAAGCGATAGGGAAAGACACCTAGGTGGATCTTATGGTGTCGTGGCTCAAAGAACAGATAATGACGACCGTCTGTTGCAGCTATGCTCAGATAACCGCCTGTTCCTTGCAAATACTAACTTTAAGCATAAGGAAAAACATCTTTTAACATGGCGACCCCCTAATTCGTCCCAACGTTGGACCCAAATAGATCACATCGCTATCAGCCACCGATGGAGGGGCTCGATAGAAGACTGTCGCTCATTCTGGAGCACATGCCTAGATTCAGATCATGCTCTAGTGCGAGCGCGTATTTGCTTGCGTCTTACTGGACGTAGAAAAGACGCTGCAAGGAAACTTCTTAGGGGCCTACTTAATGATAGTCAAGCTAAGAGTATATATCAGGAACATCTAGGAAAACAGTTAGATGCAGCATGGAATGATATCCGAAAAGCTGTGGAAACAGCAGTGATATCTGCTAGTAAGGTAAACCAGAAGGTTAAGGAGCAACACTGGATCTCAACAGCATCTATCTCACTGATAGATGCTCGGAAACACATTCCACCTGGCTCTGAACATAATGAAGAGCGGAGTCAGCTTAAGCGCAAGCTGACAAGAAGTCTACGCAATGATCGCGAACAGTGGTGGGTAGCGAAAGCAAGAGAGATGGAAAAGGCAGCGGCAATAGGTAATAGCAGACAATTGTTCAGACTCGTTAAGGAAACCTGAATTGGGAACCCGACTGTTAGCGAAACAATCTCAGAGAAAGATGGACATATTATTCATTCTCAATCCAGGAGATTGGATTGACGGGCAGAACACTTTAGGGATCAGTTCAAGTGGCCTTCAGCCACACTTCGGTTTCCCACGATCTCTAGTCAACCTGAATGGCAAGTTAATGTAGGTCCTCCGTCCCTTTACGAAGTTGAAAAAGCCATAAGAAATCTGAAACGAGGGAGAGCAGCAGGCCCTGACAGGTTTACTCCTGAGATTTTTAAGGATGGTGGTCCAGTATTAGCAATGAGATTAACCGAGGTCTTAGGTAGGATTTGGGAACTGGACGTAATCCCATCTGACTGGTCTCAATCACTGATTGTGCCAGTCTATAAGAAAGGACAAAAGTCCTCTTGTGACAATCACAGAGGAATCAGTTTGACAAATATAGTGTCTAAAATATTAGCTTCAATAATACTTCGACGCCTAATCAAAGCTCGTGAAGAGCAGATTAGAGAAAACCAGGCTAGTTTTCGACCTGGACGTGGTCGTATAGATCAGATATTCACACTACGTCAGGTTCTAGAACACAGACACACATTCAGACGCCCCACAATGGTAGTATTTCTCGACCTTAAGGCGGCATTCGACTCTGTTGATCTTGAGGTTCTATGGCAGTGTTTGTCACTGAAAGGAGTACCAAAGAAGTACATTAACCTTATAAAGGCTCTCTACTCGAACACAACTGGTAGAGTGAGAGCTTATGGCGAACTGTCATCAGAATTGATTACCTCAAGTGGTGTTCGTCAGGGCTGTCCACTCTCCTCATTCTTGTTCAACTTTGTGGTCTACGTACTTTTAGAGATAACACTCTCCTCATCTAAATTTACAGGGGTTGAACTTGTACCGGGAGGTTCACTTGTTGACTTAGAATATGCAGATGACATAGTTTTATTTGGTGAAGACGCTGACAAAATGCAGAGTCTTCTAACCACTCTAAGCAACAATGCAAGCATGTTCGGGATGCGATTCTCTCCCTCGAAATGTAAAATGTTGCTTCAGGATTGGGTTACATCGACACCCGAACTAGTGATAGGGAGTGAAGTAGTTGAGTGTGTCGATCGCTTCACTTATCTTGGAAGTCTCATCAGCCCTTGTGGTCTGGTGTGTGACGAAATCTCAGTGGGGATACAGAAGGCTCGACTAGCTTTTGCCAACTTGCGTCATTTATGGCGTAGGCGAGATATCCGTCTACCAACTAAAGGACGGGTCTACTGCGCAGCAGTCCGTTCCGTCCCACTTTATGGCAGTGAAACATGGCCGGTAAGAGTAGAGGATATCCGTAGGCTACTAGTATTTGATTATAGGTGTCTTCGAAACATTGCTCGTATATCATGGGACCATCGAGTAAGTAACACAGTTGTAAGGAAACGGGTACTAGGTAAGGATGGCAAATCGATTGATGAAGTGGTGAAACTTCATCAGTTGAGATGGCTGGGACATGTGTTACGTATGTCCAACCACCGACTGCCTCGACGTCCGATGTTCAGTGGTATGGGAGTAGGTTGGAAGGAAGCTAGGGGCGGCCATATCAAAACATGGCACAAGTTCATGAAGTCACTGACAAGTGGACTGAGCCATGGTGGTAGGTGTAGACTACCTGGTTGGGGACCACGAGATGATAGCAACCGATGGTTAGAGACCCTGAATGACATGGCTCAAAATCGTTTGCAATGGCGCAGGTGCATCCACTCTCTGTGTTCTCCCAAATTCTTCAAGTCCCTTTTTTCCTCTTTCCATTTTATTTCACTGTATTATACTCTTTAAATAACATCTCCAAACACTAATTTTCCCGATTACTGCTTATACTCTTATTACCTCTACCACTACGGGATTTGAATCGACGACTGCATCTCTGTGCTAATGTGGTGTGGCAACTCGAACTGATGTACGTACGTACGAATTTCTACGTTGTTACTGACTGACTGACTGAGTCAGTCATGTAAAACGTATATATATATATATATATATATATATATATATATATATATATATATATAGGTTCAAATTAAGATACTCTATTGGAACAGCGACATAAAATTGTCAACGCAAAACCCCAGAATAGTAGAGACAATAACTGTACAAGTAGAAATAGAAGAGTTTAGGCATCCTAGATGCAATTCCAGGGAACAATGTCGACCACGTAAGTAAAATATTCCATAAGGAATCAAAAAACTTGGGATCGAGGGAAAGATAAAGAATGATTCCACCTCCGAAATCACCAACGATATTGAGTCATGTCAACTAAAGTCTATAACTACTGACTACAATAATCACGTCGAATCCAACCACCTAGTCTACACCCACCTACACAACTCAGTTCACAAGTCAGTATCATCATGTACTGATGCCTTGTCTTGATTTGGCCACTTCTGGCCACTCTTCAAACCTATTCATAACATCAGTCATCATCGCATGTCGAGGTAGTTGGTGAATGGGAATACGTAAGGAATATTCTAACCAATTCAGTTTCCAAAAATCTACTTCCTTGTCAATCGATTTGCCACCGTTACATGGTACAGTACGTCGAACCTAAAGATTGTCAACTTAATGGTTTTAAAATACAGGAGGAATGCTTCGAGATTACCTTTGTTTGAATACTAGTAACCTGAGAATATCTTTACGTTTAAAGACTATGTTTCACATTCATAAAGTAAAATGAAGCGAACTGCCACTCAACACTTAATTCACTCATATTTCGGTTGGCATCCGAGCTTTCTGAAATCAGATATTGACCTACCAGGGTTCATGAGATTTCCAAGATAAGTGAAATGATTGAGACGCCTAACTACTGTGCTTTGTACCGTAGGTAATGATAACATTTTTGTCTCTGTTATTTTTTTAGTAAGTCAATTTTTCACCTTACTCTCAATACCGTATATTTATGCACAAGTGCTATTTATTTTAATTACTCATATATGGTCTCCCAAAAATCTATTTAATATTTGCTCGAGTCGAAACTAGGAGTCCTCGTCGTCTAGTTGAAAACATCAGTGAAATGTAATGTGGCTAGGAAACTTTGAACTGATCTTCGTTGAACAACCATTGAACTTGAAAAAAAACACTGGATACAGCTGTTTCATTGTAATATGAGGCTCGTGAGGATTGCTTGCCTACGACTCCCGGGGATCCGACCCAGAATCCTCAACTTTTTAGAAAGCGCTCAAAATTTAAACCGCTTAATTAGACTCTTGTGGTCTTTATGTCCAACTTCAGTCGATTCGCAATATCTCTCAACTATTGTCGATTTCCATTAATGAGCGGGTAATCTTTTATGTATTTAAACACAAAAACCTCTATACAAGGGGGCACCAAATATCTATGCGCCACACTTCATTCGATTTAAGTGAGGTCTGGGATACTCGTTAGACGCCCAAACCGAAGCAGGTGATTTTCTTAGGATGCTGTATCCGAAGCCTTCGACCTAAAGGTCTGATCCCCAATGCAGTGAAGCATCGTATAGAGATGCAGTCCCATGGTAGCCGGTGATCAACGACTGGTTCATACGCTATTTTTTCCCTCAGGATCCTGGAGTCCATGTGCTCCATTGGTTTGGAATTGTGGTTTTTCAACTCCCCTAGGTGGATCCTCTATATCCACCGACCCAATTAGAGCGTCGGACATTCGCTTTTCGTCCTCTCAATTTCGTAAATTTCCATACCACTTCATTTTTTTGGGGGGGGGGGGAATCCACACCCACTTCTGAACTCGAATCCACAATCTTCTACTTAGAAGACAAACTCCTTATCCATTAGGCCACGCAGGAGGACAGGTAACTGTCTCATACCTAGCTTGGTTAAACTACACTAAACATGGCTTCTATCCATATATCTAAGACATAACAACTGTCCAATAATTATTTATGTTTAATTAAAAACTACCTTGATTTTGTATTTTTTTTCTTTTCTTTATTTTTTCTCATAGATATGATGCATATCGTCGTATGACTATTTGTTTAGATCATTTACTTCATGCAGCTCAAATTAAATCTGATGCAACTTATCTTATTGAACCAATATCTACTACTACCACTAATAATACTGATATTATCAATGAAGAATATCAATCTAATCTTAATGAATTATCTAATTCATTATTTATTCTAAATGAATTAAATGATTTATCACCATCATCATCACCACAATTGGCACGATCTATTTTACAAATTATTTTAATGGATATTAATAAATCAGATGATATATTGGCACATTTTGAAGTAATTAGCTTTACAATTGTTGTTTTTTTTTCTTTTTTGTCAGTCATATTCAACTTGGAACTTGTCAGATATATGTATCCAATTCAAGTTACTGAAAGACATATCCCAGATTTGTGGGGGGGTAGTGAAAATATTAAACACCAGTTACAAAGAACTCAGGTTTTAGAAGAAGAAAAAGAGACAATGTATCTTCGATACTGCAAAAGGTTTTTAATCACATTACACAAGGTCTCTAACCATTAGTTATGATAATTACGCGGACCACAACCAGATAGTTTACACCTACTTACATGGCTCAGTTCAGTTGTCGATAACTTCATATACTGATTCTATGTTTTTGTTTGTCTGTTTTTACCTTTCTTTCGAACTACTTCCATACTGGGGAATATTGTCCGTTGAGTTAGGTGGTGGTTGGCTATACATAACACATGCCCCAATCACCTCAGTTGATGAGGATTTGCTACTGGATCAATCTCAGCTTACTCGGTGGTCTCAAAATATATGAGCGGTGCTTCGAAGACAACTACGATTAAACACTAGTAAATTTTGAATGTTCTCTATTTTTAAAGACCACATCTCACGACCAGCGTAGTAATTTGGTCATTTCTTTGTCAGACGTATACCTCGCCTGCGCTACGACTGATGCGAATTGGCAAAGGCCAGTCGGGTTTTCTGAATCTGTACCGTGAATTTTCCAGGCACCAGACCATTAGGACTGGTGAGGTAGTTGACACATTTAACTACTTCACCCCCCTATAAATAATTCAGGCTTCGACTCAAGCTACTCACAAAGCAAAATTTTGCATTTGGAGGAAGAGAATCGCATGCTAAATATGCTTTGGCTGTTGCTTAAGACAGACAGAAAACTTTTTTATGTGCAATAGAACTGAACTTTTCTTAAAAGTTTTTGTCACCGATTCGTCTTAGTTAGACAACCGTTAAAAACTAAGAGACACTGCACACAAATTTTCTGACTTAGTATGAGACTTAACAGTATTCATCCACATTAATAGCAGGTGTCGAACCCAAGTTTCCATGTTCTGAAACAAACATGTGTCCGTTGTACTAATAAGTCTCATCTAATTGTGTACATTTCTTACATCATTATTTTTCAAAGAAGGTGGAACTGTTAAATTCCACCTATTAGTTGTGACTGTGGCCATGTGAATATATCTACATTGATATGATAATTTTAATGCAATCAGAGTATATTAGAATCAAGATAAATGATGGTCAGTTCGTTATTTCACTTTGATTTTTTCAGTTGTGAGCAATTGTGTTGAGTTGTAATGGGAAATGGTCCATAAATTAATTGATAGATACTAATAATTTTATGCTCTAGATTCCTTTGATCAAAATCAGTCAGTCGTATGAGATCAAATTTAGTTACTTTGTAGTTCATTTTAAATTTTGTACACATTCTATTGCTTCTTCATAAATTTCATCCCACATACTTGACTTATATTCATCGCGTTGATTTAGTCATCGTTTCTATTTTCGAAAGTAATTTTTTGTCATTGACTGACACACCAGCCTTGAAGGGAATTGATTAAAAAACTATCGAATGAATCCATGAATGACATCAGTTAGAAAGGTGTTTAAGGTGAAAGGTGGTGAGTTCCTGTCTCAATGTAAATATCAACATTGAGATGATGGTGTATTACCAGTTGACGAGTTTCAGATGCGTCCCGAATTCTACTTCCAGTCACATACCAGATATTAAACTACTATTATTGATTGTCAGCTTTTTTTCAATATCGATAAGCACTGCTGAGGAGTCCCATACTAGTGCTTCCAAGTTTTCAATGGTGGTCATCGATTCATGATTTCAATAAGTTTTTTTCAATTAATTTTTTTAAAACATTTCTTCCTTTAGGTTTTTAATTGGTTATTATCAAATGGTCTTACTGATACGGTAATGTTATTAAATTCAGCGCATTTTGAAGCGTATCTACGTTCAAGACTACGTCAAACACCAGATGATGCTAATTTACGTTGTCTTTTATGGCGTTTACTGGAACGTCGTGGTGCACGTTTAGAAGCAGCTCAAGTATTGGAACATTTAGCTGTTACACCATGTCATCAATTAACTTTAGAAGATAGATTAGATTTTGCTGCACGTGCTATTGTCGCTGTCAAAGCACTTCCAGGTTAATAAATTTGATTGATTTACATATATGATTTTATTAGTTTATCACTTGTTCATTTCATCATTACTGTGATATGTGATGCTTGAATCTTTTTTATTTACATTATATAGTCATTTCCATTTCTGACTTTTTGAAACATTCATTTTGAGTAAATAGATAGTCAGTTACATGTTTCAATTAATCAGTTAGTCAATATCAACTTAGATGCTGTTATATATATACATTTGTTTAAGTTTTTATATTACATAAGTGGTATGAGATGGATTTCAAATCGTGAATAATGGAGGAGTTGAAATAATGCAGCTGCAATTATTATGATAAAGACTAAGTGTTGAGAATATAGTTCAAATAGACGGATCGGAAAGGTATAAATGAAGGAACTCAAGATTTAGATTGAGATAATTATTGAATGTATTTACTTCATGGAGATCGATTTATATCTAGGTTACTCAAAATCTGCAATCACCCATCATGATTATCTCGCGGCCCCAATCCGGATAGTGTGCGTCTACCAAATTGGTTTATACCGTTATGATTGGTGATGTCCGTGATCTGATTTTGATACAAAGCATGCTACGTGCTAATTCTCAAAAGTGACTGCTTCAGAGAAAAGACAAGAGTAGAAGAGAAAGTCTATTGGGATACTAACTAATATGTACAAATAATTATTAAAATATATACATTTCGTCTTAGAAAATGAATCAATTTCTTAGCCACTGATATACAATTGTGATTCAGGTCATTTCCGATTGTTTTCAATTGACTTCATTTGGATACTTCTGATTGGCTCACTATATCACCTTTCCTTCCTAAAAAAAATCAGTCCTGCTCCTTGGATTTAACTGAAGGCGTTGAGGGAAACGACTTCGATGATTGATTACAATTACTTCTTAGGGGGATTATGATTCTGAATTTTTTTCATCATATTCTGGAAACAGCTTTGATGGAAATAGGTAGTGTTGATGGTGCGTATCTTTTACTTGGAAAAGAGACTTCTCGACCTTGAGTATGCAGATGGTATTGTCTTATTGTTAAATGACACCAAGCTACACTAATCATACTTAATTAGTTTCTATTCAGTGTCCATAGATATGATATGCACAATGCACCTAAATACGAAGTGCTTTCACAAGGCTAGTAGGAGCATGTGTCTTCACTCACTCTTTGTGGTAGACAGTCAAAAATATTTGAAAAGTTCGCGTATCTGCTGAGTTGTATAAGTGCAGATGTGAGTGATGACATCAATTTACGTGTAGTGCAAGCCAGACCGGCTTATGTCAGTTTGGGCTATCTTCGGCACCTTCGTGATGTTAGCCTAGTTGTAAAATGTTAGATTCACAACGCCTCAGTGAGAACAGTCTTGCTTTATGGTTGTGAGGCCTGACCTCTGTGAGTTGACGATGTTAAGCGACTCTATGTTTGATCGTCATTGTCTCCAAAGAACTTCTGGTATTCATTGGCAACACCGTATTGGTAATCCTGAGTTTCGGCGACGTATGTTCGAAAACTGAACTCCCTCTCGTATTATTTACTGTTCTTGACAATTGTTTTATTTAGTAATAATTATTCATTTTTTATTTTTTCTTCACGGATTCTCCCTTTTCCTCACAATCTTATCCAACTCATTCTATATTTTAGTATCATGTAGCAAGTTTTTTATGTGCATAAATAATAAGAATAGTAGTTCTATTGTTTGTGTTCTCGACTGAATTTTGTTGACAGATTTGTATCCCATGCGGAATACTTCGATATAGCCATTTTGCTATAAGTTTTACGTAGATTAAGGTATTTGTGATGAATAGTAGAAGTCAAGATACACATTTTTTTCCTTACCTAAAATACAATCTACACATTATGGCATGTATCCCAACATTACTTACTTACTTACGCCTGTTACTCCTTGTTAAGGAGCATAGGCCGCTCACCAGCATTCTCCATCTAATTCTTTCCTGGGCATTCCTTTCCAGCTCTTTCCAGTTGTTATTCATCCTTTTCATATCTACTGTTTTTTGGCCTTCCTCTTTTCCCTTGTTAATAAATGTACATTGACATTAAACATTAGTTGACTGAGAGAAATTTGTTCTGATGGATATTTTTTTAAAGATTATTTAGTTATAACATAGTTAATTGATCAATTTCTTTTGATCCTCATGGATTATCCTGAATAGATTACTTTGAGATTTCCATCTGTATAAACCATTGTTTCATAACAAAAATTGGAATGACTTCCAATATACCCAAAAGAAACTTGATAATTTGCAGATCTTAGTATAAACAACAAGAAAATTCAAACTCTCACAAATACCATCATCATTCACTTTTGGTTACTTAAACGAACTAATTCTTTCTTCCTGTACTATATCCTTACATGCAATCTTTCTTTTATATATTACCACCTCTGAATTAACTACTTTTATGAATCCGGTGTCCATCTTGTTGTGTTAATGAGGTATGGCAACTTGGACCGATGCATATATGTGCCTGGTCCTACGTTGTAGCTGACTGACTTGAACCAATGACTATTAAGACTCAGCAACTCATTGGATAACAGATTGAGCGCTTAAAGCGAAAAATTTTTTGGTTTGAGTCACAAAGTATTCATCAACACTTTCGTATGCTAAATAGGATCACACGCATTGTTATAATATACAGTTAGCCACTGACCAGCTCTATTTTACCTATAATTCTTAATATTGCTTTACTGATCTTTCATATAATTGCGTTTCTCTTTTTACAAATATCATTTCTTAATATAAAGCTTCTCAACAAGATTTAGACTATTTAAGAGATCTTGAAGTTCGCTTAGAACTAGCACAGTTACAACAAATGTTAACAAATGAATTAAAACAATTAAAGAAACAGTTAAGCTATCAACCGAAACAACGACATCAAACTAAACAGACACCAGGATCACCATCATCATCACCATCAACAATAACACGTGGCGGTGGTCATATCTCACTTATGTCAACAACATTAAATGATGATATTGACGAGGCGTTGGGACAGTTAATCCATGGACCATTGTTAAGTGTCACTGAAATGTTTGCCAATTATGCTGATCGATTTGGTTTACATGAATCGAAATTGTTTTTATTATGGGCTAGTGGTTCACAGGTAAGTGACAAATGCTTTTCTTGTGTTTACTTTTATTATATAATAATGAAGATTTACAGTTAAGGTGGGTCTTTACATGTTTTAAGTTTCCCTAAAGTAGACAGGTTAATTGTGCAGTTTTTGTTGTTATTTTGTGAACAATATATTCAACACCTATTATACAATATTCAAATCACTACTAGTCGCTGGTTTGAGTTTCACGCTACAAAGTCTAGTTTAGACAAGCAGTGAACATCATTAACCTTTTCATACATGAAATGTGATTTAAAGCCCAGAATAAGGATCTGCGCTTAGCAAGTGTATAATATCATCATTATTCATAATATTATCTAGAACGACAATTGAAGTGACTATACCTACTACTATTTTAGTGTATGCTACTGATATCGACAGATATAATTTGTATGTATTACCAATCGAAAGTGAAAGAAGATCGAAGAAAAGAGAATGATTGGCGTGGATTCAACGAAACATTCGGGTTTGGGACTATTGATTGACATTTTGCAAATGAAATATTTATTATACGGTACTCAGATTCTGTAATTTTGTATTCAAATATATTCGGTTGTGCTCACTAGGATCACTGGACAAGTAATAGTGAGGTTAGATGCAGGGTATTAGGGAATGATGGTAAATCAGTTGATGAGGTTGTGAATTTTCATCTACTGAGATGATTGGACCAAGTGTTGCGTATGCCTGATTGGAGATTACCACGATGCGCAATACTAACTGGTGCTGGGGATGGTTGGAAGAAAGTTAGGGGCGGACAAACCAAAACGTGGCATCAGTGCTTGAAGTCATTAACTTCTGGTCTGAGCCATGTTAGTAGATGCAGACTACTTGGTTGGGGTTCGCGTGACTATCGTATCAAGTGGTTGGAGACTGTGGGTGCCATGGCTCAGAATCGATCACAATGGTGTAGTTGTATAGACTCTGTTTTCCTTTAAACTATGAGATTAAAATCACTTCATATCTTTCTTTCTACGAACTAATTCTTTCTCCCCGTATCATATCCTTATATGCAATCTTTCTTCTATATATTACAACCATTGAAGTAACTACGTCTATGAATCGAGTGTTTGTATTGTTGTGCTAATGCTTTATGGCAACTTGTACCGATGCATATATGTGCTTGGTCCTACGTTGTAGCTGACTGATTGGTGACCTCATTACATTCATTGTCGTAAAAAGATGAAAAATAATTAGATAAACGATAAAACAATCTACTACCATTGTTCTCGTGTTCACTTTCAAGTCATTCAAACAATGAGTTTGTTAAAAATAGAAATCTAAGTGATTTCTCGCTGTAGTGCTTGTAATATGTCCTGGTACTCGGTATATAGAAACCCGAGTAATTACATAATCAGTATTATGCTTATGGACTTATATGTCTTTCACTGTAAGTGCGTGACCATGTGAGAGCATTTCGATAGGTTGAACAGACCCTTGCCATTCTCGGCCGTACCACGGCATTTATGGGAGATATTCCAAAAATGTCACTGAATATTCATTTCTAAATAGAACAAAAATTGCATTCTTCAAGTTAACAAAACCCAAGATTTTGAAAATCCTCGTTCAAACTAGTTTTTCTATATCTTGTTTAACTGTTTCGGGTATATATGTCATTCTTTTTATTTTGATACATTTTATTGTAAAGGATTCCGCGTTAATCAAAGCAATCTGGCGTGATCTTCTACGTAAAATACTTACTCAATCATCGGTTGATACTGCTACTCAAAGTCCATTGAAACGTTCACCTTCAATGTTCACTCCATATTCTAAACCACAAGATGTTAAAACAAAAAATCGTTCTTCTACACTACAATTAATTGAATTAACACTACAAGATTGTTTATCACGTTTTGGTAGTCGTTTTTTGGATGATCCAAGCACAAATCATTTAAAATGTTCCATTTATTTCCCTTTAAGTAAGTTTTCTTTCACTGAAATTCTATTTTAGTAAAATGTGTATTATTTTACTACTGAACCGATCTGTATAGATTGTCAGTTAAGCAAGTACTAGTGTAAATCTGTGTACTCTTGTACTGTTTAGTTATTCGTCAAACATTTTGATTCGTTCAATTCTTCGCAATTCAAATAAGAATTAAGAGTTAACAATTTGTATATCGCATATTCGTCGATTACTAGTATTCAAACAAAGCTAACCTCGAAGCATTCCTCCTGTATTTTAAAACCATTAAGTTGACAATCTTTAGGTTCGACCCACTGTACCATGTAACGATGGCAAATCGATTGACAAGGAAGTAGATTTTTGGAAACTGAATTGGTTAGAACATTCCTTACGTATTCCCATTCACTAACTACCTCGACACGCGATGATGACTGATGTTATGAATAGGTTTGAAGAGTGGCCAGAAGTGGCCAAATCAAGACAAGGCATCAGTACATGATGATATTGACTTGGGGACTGAGTCGTGTAGGTAGGTGTAGACTAGGTGGTTGGATTCGGCGTGATTATTGTAGCCAGTAGTTATAGACTTTAGTTGACATGACTCAATATCGTTGGTGATTTCGGAGGTGGAATCATTCTTTGTCTTTCCCTCGATCCCAAGTTTCTTGATTCCTTATGGAATTTTTTACTTACGTGGTCGACATTGTCCCCTGGAATTGCATCTAGGATGCCTAAATTCTTCTATTTCTACTTGTACAGTTATTGTCTCTACTATTCTGGGGTTTTGCGTTGACAATTTTATGTTGCTGTGCCAATAGAGTATGTTAATTTGAACCAATGTACATATTCAGTTTTGAACACTATCAAAGTATACAATAGTCAGCAGTTTATGGAGAGATTTTCAATGCATAATCACATCACATTAACTGAATTTGTAAGCAGTTATCAACATGTATTAAACTATTTTATTATTGTATATAAGATTTATATACATAAACCTTTATGTTTCCACTGCTGACTAGTGTTGGAAAGACGGTTGGAAGAAAGTTAGGGATGGCCAAACCAAAACGTGGCATCAGTCCTTGAAGTCACTAACTTTATTCCTAACCATGTTGGTAGATGCAGACTACTTGGTTGGAGTCCTCATGACTATCGTAACTAGGGGTTGGAGGTGTATACACTCTCTGTCTTCCCTTAAACTAAGAGATTAAGATCGCTTCATATCTTTCTTTCTATGAACTAATTCTTTCGTCCTGTACTATATCCTTATTGCAATCTTTCTTTTATATATTACCACCTCTGAATTAACTTCTTTTATGAATCCGGTGTTCATCTTGTTGTGTTAATGATGTATGGCAACTTGGACCGATGCATATATGTGCCTGGTCCTACGTTGTAGCTGACTGATTGACCTATCTGTCTTCAAATGAATACGCTGTTTTTGTACCTGAAAATAATTTAGTTTTAAGATTTTCTATCATCGTTTTCAGTTAGTCATCCTATAGTACTATGTTTATTTTCTTTTATACTCTGTTCTCTCTCCCACTCCCAACTTTCCACATCTTATCTATCAGCTGATATAATTTCCACACTTGAATATTATGCTATACAACATTCATTAAATCCAACATGGGTACCAACTATTCTACGTGATTCACATTTATTATGTATTGCTAATATATCTGATGCATATAATGAATTAATTCATTCCAAAGATTCATTATGGCGTCGTGATGAATTACAAGAACGTTTATTTATTGCATTCATAACAATTATTGAAGATTTTCTAATGAATAATACATCGATTCAATTAACAATACGTCAACGTATGTTACAAACTGATCGTATATTAAATCAAATTACTGGTTTATTAGTGGATTTAAATTCAGATATAAAAACTACAACCACAACAATAACAACAACATCAACAACAATCAATATGATTGATAAAACTGGTCATTTAAGTAAATTCTCTAAATCAAAATGGATTGAATCATTGCGTAATTTACATGATCGTTTACAACGATTAAATAGATAATTTACAAATATGTTAATATTTTACAAATATGAATGTTTTCTCTTGGCTGGTCGGTTGTTTTTCTATAATAATAGAACAATGATAATAACTATCTGTACAGTTTTGTTACCCTTTTTATGTTCTTTTAACCAAATATAAAAGGACGATATATCCAGGATTTTTTTTTGTTGTTGCACACACTTATGTTTTTTGTTACTGATTTTATGAAGCTACTCAAATGTTTGTTAGTAGTTAGTGTACTTATATAGGTTGTAGTTTATTTATTTTTTAGCAGATCCCCTATACATTGATTGATTAGTGTTGATGAGTTTATATAACTAAATGACAATGGTGAATGTGTCGCTCAATTTTGTGGATTAGTTGAAGTTAGACATTAACACCGTTGGATGCCAACTCACGGGGTTAGAGGTTAAGCGTTCGCACGCGAGACTGATAGATCCTAGGTTTGATGCTCGCGAAGTGGGGTCGTGGATGAGTACTGCCGATGAGTCCCACAATAGGACGAAACGGCCATCCAGTGCTTGCAGGTTTTTTATGATGATCTAGCTTCAATTGACATGAATTTAGAATGGTGGACATAATAAGACCATTTAAATTGTGGACTTATACTTTACGTTAGTTATGCAACAATCTAAGTGTATTTACTTAATACTCAACTGTAGTTGCAAGTGTTACATTATTTGGGCTTGTATGTAGTGATAATCCAATTGAGTTAGGTTATCTGAAATACTCGTTCTTTTAGGTCTTATCATACCAGGCTGGTCAGTTGTAGAATAGTAATAATAAAAGCGACAAACCTACAGTACGAGCCGTAACTGCTGACTATACAAGGTTGTGATTGCAGTGACTTTTCACCTCTGACAACTATAGGTTACAAAATATAACACATCTCATCCCACTGACGCATACTGAAATACGTAGCCAACACGTGTAAAAGTAAAAGAAAAGACGCTTCTACCCAGCCTTAGGGATCTGTTATCACGTTCCCGAGTTGTCAAAACTATCCGAATCCCATTCTTCGTGTACCTCTACAAGAATTGTGAGCAACATGGAAGTGACAAACATCTTATACTCCTAGCAGTACTCGAGTTATTCACCTTTTTTCTCTCTAAAAGTTTGACATTCCTACTAAAAACTCCGCTACGAATCTTGATATATATATATATATATATATATATATATATATATATATATATATATTGAAATATTCGAATGTTAGACATTAACAGTATAGTTGTGGATTACAAAATAATGATTTTCTCAACAACAACAGAAAAAAACAAGCTAACCGACGGAGCGAAAAACTTTTTTTTCACAGACGGACTCTCCCTTGTTTTTTTTTTATATAAACAAAGACATCAAGATATTCTTATTTTGTCCATGTATTCATGTTTTTTTTACAATTATATTAAGCAAGTACATAAAAATGTATACAGAGTAATAAAAAAATTTTTTCTTTATGCAAAAACAATTTGAGCATTGTTTGTTTGGATAAGGGGGAGGGGGTGGCGAACGAAAAATAACCCAAATGTAGAATGATTTTAGTTACAAAGTGAATAAGATTAAATTACATCTGGTTATATAATAGAATTGAACGAAGAACAATGAATTGTTGCATATTTAATGAGATTATTTCTTTGATTTTTTTTAAAAAAAAACACGATGATAACATAATGTAAATAAATAGAACGGAGGGAGGGCGAACAACATAGTAGTGGTGATGGTGGTAGTAGTAGTTAGTAGCAGTACATAAATACGTCACTATCACTATTACACTTAAGTTACAAGATCTCAATTCCATTTATGATGAATAAAACAATTAGATTTATACACATATATATTTATTTGTGTGTTTATGTGAAAATGTACTACTTTTATCAGTAGTATATTGATTATTCTCATTATTTTATAGTGAATGATAAATGCACTCTATGTTCATTTATTTTATTTTCTGTCAAAAACAACAAACGATGACTGGGATTTAAAAAAAAAAGAGAGCGATCACCAAGGATGCTATAACCCTGTAATGAACGGAACGAACATAATTGTGAGAATAAAAACACGTAGACAATGATCAAATCTTAGTCATTTTTGGCAGTTGATTGCCTGAATGATGATGATGATGATTATGATAATAGTAATAATACTGTTGTGTTTATAAACAAGTTAATTACCAAAACACAAAGAAAAATGCAACTGCCATTTGTTATTGGTTTCCTGCATTTTTCATTTCATAAAATTAATAACATTAATAGTTAACACTGCTACTTTTACCATTTGTAATTGTTGGTTCCAAGGAATTCTCCGATTGGAGTAATTCCAGTTTTGGACGTTTTATTGTAGTCGTCTGACTATCAATGGTAGGAGATGAATTATTTCCATTGGTATCATTAATAGTAATAAGTGTTTCACCATCATGATTACTATCCTCGGAGGTTTCATGACAGATTGGTCGTTTCCTTGGTGATAGTGTTGTTGTCGTCGATGTGTTTTTGGCGTTGACTTTTGATATGATAGTTGAATCAATTAATGCATTACCTTTATTTTCGTAATATTCAACCCAACCAGGAAGATTGTCAAAACGAACTATAATACAGGTCATATTATCACAGCCTGTACCGTCACCGTCGGTATTCGGCGCCAAACAATGATCGAAAATCTGTGAGTTAAAGAAAAACAAACATCAATTTTACTGGTAGATACTGAAACCAAACAGACGTTCAAACTAATTGTAAAGTGCAGGTATAAACCTGGAACTGATTATTTGAAACAAAAACAGTATATACATAAAGTATGAATATACTACTAAGGAGAAACCTGTTCAACACCATCAGACTTGTAATAGCAACTTATGCAGTCAACTAAACTACATCTCTTTTTGTACAGAGCAAGAGGGATATTAGTTGCTAATCCTCTCAGATACAAAATCTGCAAAAAAATACATATCTTACTTCATGACATATTTTTGTTAGTTGATCAGACGAATCCAATTTGCCGACCTCACCAAGATCATTGCCATTTTTACTGACATCAGCACCGGAATTCGAATGACTGTTTGAAGTGTTTTCACTACTGCTATTGTTTATAGTAGGAGGATGTAAACGGTCCTGAATAAATTCTACAACCTCTTGACTTGTCATTGAATTCCATACTCCATCACATGCAATGACTAAAAATTCATCTGCTGATGGAATTAAATCTATTTCAGTAACATCTGGGGATGGTGTGATCATTTGATCTGTTAATGGAATATTTGGAGTTTGCTGTAAAAGAAATAAGACGGTTATTGTGTTATGATTGACTGTACATAATTCGAAATATATGTGTAATTCATTTGCCGAGTACTTATCGGTTATGAGTCGCTCTTTAGCTTCAAGGACTAGTAGCTCTATGGACTTTTTCAAATCGAATTATCTGGAACGGGGTTTGTGCCAGACAGTAGTGGTCACTAACCTTGATAAATATATAAATGTTCTCTGACAATTATTTTGATCTTATTTCCCATCGGTACATTATAAAATCTAATAGATACAAAACATTGGGATTAGCGTATTGAAGAGTCAGGCATCGGAATAGACCACAAACAAACTATGCGGTTGCATGTCGTTATATGATGGTACATAACGGTGGATAGGAAGAGGGGTAATGTGCAACTGTAGCAGTCTCAAACGAATACATTTATCAGTATGACCAAATGACGCTTGAGGTAGTAAGTTATGGGCCTCGATTGCAGAACAGGCACTGAACACCAAAAGAAATGGTCGAAAACTTCAAGAACAATTCAAAATGAAATAAACTGTGCGATTTAGATTCCACATGTAATCACTGATTGAAAACAGAACATTCGAGATATTAGTTGGTAAACTTGGTCGTCACTTTAAAGCAAAGGGATTAAATTGATTAGTAAAACATACTTTGTGGGTCAGTTAATAGTTTAAGCATTTAACTTTTAGCTAGTAAGCCGTAGGTCCGGAGTGCACCCCATCATCGTAAAAGCACTCACTTAAAGTCAAAGTATGACTTTTCCATGCACAATCTCACCTTATAACTATGATCACCAAGGGCGCGACTGAGATTAAGACCACCATTGACTCGGCCATCACGTGTTACAGTTCCACCAGCTGCAACAATCCGAGCTTTTTCATCTTCATCCTCAGGTTTATGATCATTTGATAAGTCGACCGCAGCACCACCACGACAGAGTACAGCTCGTGAATCGCCAGCATTAGCAACATACAAGCGTATAACACCATTGACTGGTACAAGAACAGCAACACATGCAGTTGTCCCACTATCTATTCCAGGTTCTGATTCTTCAGTGTCTGCTATAGAACGTGGTATAGAAAAACCAGTCAGTTCATCGTCGTCGTCGTCATCCTCTTCGTCTTCTTCATCATCGTCATCCTCCTCCTCATCTTCCTCTTCATCATCATCGTCATCATCGCTATCTTCGAATTCAATTGACGGATCAAAATCTGCACTTTCATCGTCGCTTTCATCATCAACATCATTCTTTGTATTAGCCACTGTAGAATTGTTTACATTTGTATCTGTAGGCATTTCTAATGATCCACTTGATAACTCTTTCTTTGTATTTTCATCATTGTTAGAAAATTTAGTACTGTCTGTTCCAAAACTAGATTCAGAACCTAAGAAAAGAGTAAGATTTAATAATATACAAAACTGTCATTATCATAATAATAATATTCTGAACTCAAATACATTCATTTGAAACCACAAACTGTTCGAAGTAAAACAATCAGTGAAAACCTGAAAAACACAAAACAATTATTTTGTCCTATTATGGGGCTTCCCAACAGTACAATACGGAGATCATGTGACTGTGGATCGAATACAGAACCTTCCGTTCCGTTCATGAGCACCTACACTTCTAAACCACTGAGACACCGTTCAATAATTTACAAGTCTAAATATAATCAACATGAGATATTGCGTGACTTTTCTGATGATTTTTTGGTAGATACTTTCCTCATACCCAACACAGCTGAACTACACTGATCAAAATGAATATTTGTGTACTAAATCAATAAATAATAAAGTTCTATACATACTGAATTAGAACTAATTAAACTTATTTTTACACACATTCATACTTTAATTAACAAATTTTAGGTTATCCTTTAAGTAAGTTTTACATGTTTCAATAAATATATACAGCAAGATTTGTTAACTGATTTTCCCACGTTAACAAGATATACGGTCAGATAACCAATCAATATTATCATACTACTTTGAGTTATAAATTAAATCGTACAAGAGTAGTTTATCTCCCTCGTGTGGTGTTATTTAACTCCGGGTATCGTATCTAGCAGATGAACGTGAGTAACCGCACCTTGAAACAATAGATATTAAATATGAATTCCTGTCGTTGTCTCACTGCCGGTGAATTATTAGTTAAAGAAAGGTCGTGGTATCACTGGTCAAATACAGGAAGATCAACTAACACTAAGACAATACAATACAACTAGTCCCGGAATAACGGACGAATCTTATGGATTCCAATGCGAAAGAAAAGCTTCTTTTCTGTATGTAAAGCATAAACAATTTTTTCGTTATTTCTCTATCATATCTATTAAATTAGTTTCGCCTTTTGTCCTATTTTTAATAACAAAACTCAACTGTTTATGACAACTTACTGATAAATTATCTTTAGTGTAAAAAGAAGCCGATAACATACTTCTATTCAGTGAAGATGCTGACAAAATACAGTCTTCTGACCACCGTAAGCAACAATGCAAGCAGGTTCGGGATGCCACTCTCCCCCTCGAAATGCAAATGTTGCTTCAGAATTTGGTTGCATCGACAACTGGAATGATGGCGGGGAGTGAAGTAGTTGAGTGTGTCGACCGCCTCAATTATTTTGTGATTCTCATTAGCCCTCGTGGTCTGATGTATGACGAAATCTCAGCACGGATACAGAAAGCTCGACTAGCTTTTGCCAAATCGCGAGATATCCGTCTACCAATTAAAAGGGGTCACTGCGCAGTAGTTCGTTCTGTCCTACTTTATGGCAGTGAGACATGGCAGGTAAGAGTAGAGGATATCCGTAGGTTACTAGTATTCGATCACAGATATCTTTAAAGCATTGCTCGTATATCCTCTGACCACATAGTAAGTAATGCAGTTGTTAGGAAATGAGTACTAGGTAAGGATGGCAAATCAATTGATGGAGTAGTGAAACCTCATCATTTGAAATGGCTGGGATATGTGATAAGTATGCTGAAACATCGACTGTCCCGACGTGCAATAATTTATGGTGTAGGAGTAGATTGGAAAGAAGCTGGGGGAGGACAGACCAAAACATGGCACAAATCCACGAAGTAACTGACAAGTGCACTGAGCCATGTTCGTACATGGCTCTACCTGGTTGGGATCCGCGAGATGATAGCAACCGATGGTTAGAGACCTTGAATGACATGGCTCAAAATCGTTTGCACTCGCGCTGGTGCATCCACACTTTGTGTTCTCCCAAATTCTAATCTTCCGAATTCTTCATGTCCCTTTTTTCCTCTTTCCATATTTATTTCACTGTATTATACTCTTTAAATAACATCTTCAAATCCTAAACTTTCAGGTTACTGTTTATACTCTTACTACCTCTACCACTACGGGATTTGAATGGACAACTGCATCTCTGTGCTAATGTGGTATGGCAACTAGAACTGATGTACGAACGTACGGAGTTCTACGTTGTTACTGACTGACTGAGTGTAAAAAGGAAACGATATAAAAAGACCACTCGATGACAACAATAAAATGTTAATGAAAAGATCCGAAATTTTCTATACTTTAATAAGCAAAGTAAATAAACCAGACAAATGAATGAATACATTAATTTAGTTTTTTTAACAGGTTATCAGTTGATCTGCTTCGGTCTGGGCACCCGGGCAGTATCACAGCACACACACAAAACTCAAGTGACTTATGTGACGCATATGTATTCAGAGCCAATTTGTACCAATATATATGTGTTCAAATAAATAAATAAATATCAGTCGATCATATCTTATTTATCATTTTAAAAACCTGACTATATATCCGGTTGACGTTTTCAATCAGACATTCATATGTATACCAATCCAAGTTGTCAGAGAGTATGTATAGACTATTGTTTCGACAATTATGATTATAAATTACTGATGCAAAAAGAGTACAGGTTGAAAACAAAAAGAAAGGGAATAAATTTTGACGTTAACGAGTGTTATATCCTAGCGAACATTAAAGTAAGGGTAACTTCTGAGACCTATTAATGGACTAATATTATATATATATATATATATATATATATATATATATAGTATAACTATTCAGTAACTAGGTCATGTATATTCATACTCATCTTATTATAAGCTTCATTTCGACCTATAGATTATTACTATACGATTTACTATTCTCTAGTTATGCCCAGTTTATTAATTACAGTCTCCCACAATCACAACCACTTTTTGGCTTGATCTTGTAAATTTACTCCCTATTTTATGGTATGATGTAGTCTATTTGGCTTGTATATAAACCAGGTATGTTTGAAACAGATGATTCGCATAGCGGAAGCTGTTATTGGTATTTTGAACTCGAGCGGGCTAGTCGAACAAAGGACTAATAAGGACGCTAGGCTGCTCAGATCGGTCGAATGTCATTGGTTTAGCACAGTACAAGAGTGAATAAGCCGTATTTCGATTGGAAAATAAATCCCGTGATAACTAGCCGGATTTAAAGCCGAAATAACGAGTATCGAACATTTCGAAGAAAACGATGGAGTGTAGACTCCATCGTAGAGAGAGTAACAAACAGAAGTGAATACAGCTTATGACAGCACAAATAATTCACTCTCAGCTATTCACTGAACGTCTGCAACTAGCGTATATATATATATATATATATATATATATACTGAATGTAAAACATTAATTAGTAACTAGAAGATAATGAAACTTACATAAGTCTCCTTGTTCAACAGTTCTGACATCGGGAAGAGTATAAAGTAAAAATTACGAAAAAAACGATTAGTTGCTTATTTTTATTTAAGTAGTCAAACTTATATGTTATATTACGAAATATGTACTCGAAACAATACAGAAAATATAATTTATTAAAGAAAACAATGTGAACGATGAATCCGATAGAAATTTATTAAAACGAAACGGCCATCCAATGCTTCCAGGTCTTAAACAGTGGTCTAACATTGATCGGCTGATGATTTTAATGAAATCCAACAATCTACACAATCCCGAACCGAAATATAACTTTAATTAAATGCACTTTAGTACGTCACCTTAAGTCACTTTAATCAAAACCTTAACCAACGATTGTATAAATACTATTTGTGAGCAAACCTAACCATAAATCCTTTCCAGGTTGGAAGAAACTTTATTTAAGTGAGCAGAAGCTTTCCCTAGAATCCTTGGATACTGAAAAATATAACAGAATAAATAAAACACTGAACTGATTGACTATGAAATATGGGAAATGTCAATTTTAAAGTAATAAATGGTTAAATATGATTTGAAATCCATCCAACAACATACTCGATAAATAGTGCTTATACTACTGTATAGGTATACGTGGAGAAAACCAACACATTAACCTACAGTCAAGATTTTACAAACACAATCATACTGCAATAATTGACTGTTTCTAGAATAGAATCGCAAAAAGAACCTGCATAACTGTGAACTAATAGGATAAAAAATTGATGTGAAAAAGAAAACTAGACATACTCAACAGGATTGTCAGCAGTAGTATTGGATACTTTAGTGCAAGAAGAATCTGTTGTTTTGTCCAACTCTGAATCACTGTCTTCTGATACACTTTTCGACGATTTACTTGAATTACGACTACATTCACCAACTTTTTGTTGACGTCGGGTATCCAGGATAGTCTGTGGTATTTTTTTAAAGGAAAATTATTAATGCAGAGAATATTCTTGAGCAATAAATTTGGTCTAATTTGCAAACTAATGACCAACTGAAAAGCCTTTAACAGACGTTCGAATGAGCATATATATATATACCCCCCAATACCGTAGTACGGCTGAGGGTGGGGAGAGTCAGCTCTCCATCTCCAAATACTCTCACATGGCCACGTGTATATAGCCACCGCCAGGGAAGTCTTACTCATTGCCTTCTCGTGGCACCGGTGTTGTTTACGAAATTGAGAGGAGGAAGAGCGAATGTCCGGCGCTTTAACCGAGTTGGTGGACACGGAAAGTCCATATAATGGAGTTGGAAAACCTTGATTACAAACCAATGGTGCACAAAGGCTCCAGGATTATGAAGGAACAAATGACATATGAACCAATCGTTGGTCAGTGGCTACCATGGGACTGCATTTCCTGACGTTGTCCCACTGCCTTGTGGGTCAGACCTTTAGGTCGAAGGCTCCGAGTGTGGCCTCCTAAGAAAACCACCTGCTTCGGTTTGGGCACCCGGGCAGTATCCCAGTCCTCACACAAATCGAATGATCTATGAAGCACATATCTATTTGTTGCCTCCTTGTACTGATGTATGTGTTTAAATATATATATATAATGTACGTAAAGATTGTCCACTTCAGCAGTTAAATCTTACCTTGATGCTCGAAGGTAAAGCATCCTCTCCTCCATACTGTTCTAAAACATCCTCTAAAGGTTGGTTTGCTTCAGCACGCAAGGCCAAAAGTTCTGAATAATTTTCATCTTCCTCTCCATCATTATCATCATCACCATCAATATCAGCAGCCTATATTTTCAATTATGAGATAAATTCATGAGCTTACATAATGGACTTGAGCAGGTGACTCTTTTTCTGATGAACTATCGGCTTTGTCTGTCTCTGACATTTTACTTAAAACAGTTCTAGTTTCAGGAGTTACTAATGTAGCGTCGAAATCAAGGAATAACTGCTTTAAGGTTTCCTTCATATCCAATTTATTATAAGAAGGAAGTTTCATTAGGAAATCAGGCATGTATTCTGCACAATATCGTGCCACTTCTGATCCACCGTGGCCATCATAAACCGCAAAGAAGGAAATACCTCGTGATGCATCGAAATTAGGTATGCAATTGTGAGCATCCTAGAAGCATAAATCAATAAACAATTTGGAAGTACATGAATAGTACAATTAAATAAAAAGTGTAACACATGTATCCTGAAACGACGAAAATAGCTCTGAAATTCAAAAAAGTCACAACAGTAACATAATGGAATGACACTTTAAAATGTAAAGGAGCAGATGTAATTTTTATCGGGTAAACACAGTAGCTAACTCAAAATAAGTCGCAAAATTTTTATCACTCATTCATGGCACTCAGTCAGTTACAACGTGAAACCTGTACGTATGTACATTGGTTCAAGTTGCCATACTTCATTAATACAGAGATGAAGTTGTTAGGTCAAAACTCAGAATAGTAAAAGTAGTAACAGTATCAATGGCAGTGAGAAAGATTAGGCATTTAAAATACAACTCGAAAAGAAAACATAAGTGTACTAAGATAAAAAAGGTTATGAAGAATTTGGGGGAAGATAATGAATAAATGCACCTACACTATTGCAAACGATTTCGAGTCGTGTCATTCAAAGTCTTTAACCATTAGTTATGATAATCACAGGGACCACAACCAGGTAGTCTACACCTAAACACATGGTTAAGTCTAACTGTGAATGACTTCATGAACTGATGGCATGTTTTGGTTTGGCCGTCCCTAGTTTATTTCCATTCGATGCCTACAACTAACAACATCGTCCGTCGGGGTAAGCGGTGGTTGGGCATACGCAACACATGTCCTAACTACCTCAGTTGATGAAGACTCACCAGCTTACCAATCGATTTGCCATTTTCACTTAGTACTCTACTGCTAAACCAAGAATTCTGAATTCGTGTCGAGATTTTGTCAAACACTCAACCATCAGGACTGATGAGACTGTTGAAATAAGTGAGGCAGTTGATGCGTCCAACTACTTCACTCCCTGTCATCAATTTAAACGCCGACGTGACCCAATACTAAAGCACCATTTTGCATTTGGAAGAAGACAATCACATCCCAAACATATTTTCATTGTTCCTTAAGGTGGTCAAAAGACTGCATTTTGTCACCGTTTTCACCAAACAGAACTACATGATCCATGTAATCTAAATCGACAAGTGAATCTTCTAATGAAAGGTCAGACGAATAAAGCGTTATCACTAAAAGCATGTATATGACAACGTTAAATAAGAATAGAGGAGGACAGCCCCGATGAACACCACTTACAGTGACTGATTCCGACGACTGTTCCCCAGAAGATCTGATTCGACCAGTAATGTTTAAGTAGAGTACAGCCTGTACAAGGATAATGTATCTCATTAGTACGCCTTGGAGTGACAAACACTGTCACAGAATCTCACGATCAACAGTCGAATGCTGCCTTAATGTCGATGAAAGCAACTCATGTCGTCGATGTTCTAGAACCTGCCGAAGGCTGAATATTTGTTCTACACATTCACGTCTAGATCTGAAACTAGCCTGGTTCTCCCAGCATCAGAGTTAGTTTATCAAACTACTGCTCTCCATTGCCTCATATCGCATATATTATTTACACTCCTATTGAGTTGAAGAACTTATTTCAATTTTCCATTCAGATTGCTTAGAGATGATGAGTAACTGTAGTGTGCCTGAATGCCAGTTGAACTGTTCCCTAGTGTTCTGCCAATCCATACAATCTTTTACATTTAGAGTGATTAATATTTCCGTTTTTCTCAGTCTCACTAACAGTCAGACTCTTAATACCCGTTCCATTGATAAGTCTGAACAGTTGTCTACTGTTACCTATCGCCGTTATCTTTTCCATCTCTACTGCTTTCGCTACATATCTGTGCTCATGATCATCACGTAGGCATTTTAACAACCTATATTTAGGTTGACTTCGTTCTTCATCGTGTTCTGAGCTGGAGGGGATGAGTTTTCGAGATTCATGGCACCATACTTTTACTGACCACTGACAATGAAAAAAACAGTTTAAAACCACAAAACCAACAACAGAAAATTAGATGGGCATGAACGATAGCTCCTCTTCATTTATTTATTTAAACACATAAACATTGATACAAGGAGGCACCAAACAGATATACGCCACATAAATCGATCGATTTGTGTGAAGGCTAGGATACTTCCCGGGCACCCAGACAGCAGCAGGTGATTTCCTTAGGAGGTCACACCCGGAGCCTTTGAACTAAAGGTCTAATCCATAAAGCAGTGAAGTAACGTAAAGATATGAATTCTCATGTTAGCCAGTGGCCAATATGTTCATGAGCCATTTGTTCTTTCAGAATCCTGGAGCCATTGGTTTGGAGTCATTATTTTCCAACTCTTCCATATCCACCAACCCGGTTAAAGTGCCAGACATTAACTTTTCGTCCCCTCAATTTCGTAAACGACACCCCCGCCGAGAGGAGGCAGTGAGTAGGACCTCCATGTCAGTGGTTGTATACACGTAGCCATATGAGAGCACTTAGAGAGGGAGGATTGACTCTGCCCACTCTCGGCCGTACCAGGGCATTTGGGGTTTGTAAAATTTCTTTATCTCGCTTGACAGATATCGATAAATGCAGTACCTATCCTAGTAGCTTAGTCTAGGAGTTACTTGAAAAACGGAAGCAAGTCTGATGAACATCAAATTTATTGATTTCAGTCAGTCAGTCAGCTACAACGTAGGACCAGGCACATATGTGCATCGGTCCAGGTTGCCATACCGCATCAGCACAACAAGATGAACACTGGATTCATAGCAGTGGTTCTGTCAAAGGTGGTAATATATAAGAGAAAGATTGCATATAGAGATATAGTACAAAAAGAAAAAATTGGTTCGTAGAAAGAAAGGTATGAAGCGATTTTAATCTCTTAGTTTAAGGGAAGACAGGGAGTGTATACACCGACGCCATTGTGATCTTATTTACTTATTTATTTGAACACATAAATATTGGTACAAGAGAGCGCCAATATATATGCGCCACACAAAACAATGAGAATTCGAAGAGAAATAGAAAAAAGAGAGAGAACAATAACGAAGAAATTGGTGTAAGGTGGTGTGGTAGTAATGAGGGAACGCAAAGGTACAATCGGAAGAAATCTTTCGGGTAACGGAGACACTACCACTTTTTATGAAGAAAGTAAAAAAAGATTACAGCAGGATCGCCACTGGCTTCTATTCTGAGCCATATCTGATAACGTCTCTAGCCACTGTGTAGCACCATCTCTCGGACCCCAACCAGGGAGCCGTGAAGGACCAACAGAAGCCAGTCCTTTGCAGCTTTCTTTCATGCCACGACACCATGTCATGCACTGACCACCTCTCCGCTTCTTCCAACCAGTCCCAGAGTCGGCAAATAATGCACGACGTGGAATTCTCTGGGACAACATTCGTAGAACATGTCAAAGTCACCGAAGTCGGTGTTTCAAGATGGTGACATCGACTGCATTATCATCTCTGTGCCCGAACACACGATGCCGAACCTCTGCATTACTGACATGGTGTTGCCACTGAATGTCAGCAATCCTTCGGAGACAGCGATGACCGAACACAGAGAGTCGTCTAACGTCCTCAACTCGGAGAGACCAGGTTTCACAAGCATAGAGCAAAACTGCTCTCAACGACGCGTTGTAGATCCGACCTTTTACAGCCAGACTAACATCACGAAGGCGCCAAAGGTAGCCCAGATTGGCATAAGCCGCTCTGGCTTTCACTATTCATGCATTGATCTCATCACTCACACCCCCACCAGCACTTATGCAGCTACCCAGATACACGAACTTCTCGGCTACGTCTATCTGCTCACCATCCAGGGTGAGTACAGGATTGGAATCCTGCCATTGTGATCGATTCTGAGCCATGTCACCAAGAGTCTCCAACCATTGGTTACCATAGTCATGCGGACCCCAACCAAGTAATCTGCATCTACCAACATGGCTCAGACTAGAAGTTAGTGACTTCAAGCACTGATGCCATGTTTTGGTTTGGCCGCCCCTAAAAAATTTATTGATTTAGTAAATGCTTTGGCAGTTTATCAAAATATGCAACAACATTTTTAAGCAATTGCTGGGATCAAAATTGGATGTGGTTATTCAAAAAATATGAACAGTAAGATTGGTATACGCAGACTACTACACTTGAAACACTACAGTTTTCCGAGTAGTATTATGAGACTCGAAACTAGGTACATTAATCACTGAGTGGTTAACAAGTCGCATTCCATTAATGGTAATTGTAAAGTCGCCTAACACATAAATCAAACTTGGATGAGATAAGCGTAATGTGAGTCACTCATAACCAATATAGGACTTGGCACACATGAGTTGGCCTGCTACAATGTCACTAAATGATGAAGCCCCCAAATGCCCTGGTACGGCTGAGGGTGGGCAGAGTCAGCTCTTCCTCTCAAAATGCTCTCACATGGCCACGTGTATACAACCACTGACATGGAGGTCCTACTCACTGCCTCCTCTCGGCGGGGGTGTCGTTTACGAAATTGAGGGGACGAAAAGTTAATGTCCGGTGCTTTAACCGGGTTGGTGGAAACGTTGAGTCCACGGAGTGGAGTTGGAAAACCACAATTCCAAACCAATGATGCATATGAATTTCAGGGTCCTGAAGGAACAAAAGGCGTATGAACCAATTGTTAATCATTGGCTACTATGGGACTGGATCTCCTAAAGTTGCTCCACTGCCTTATGGAACAGACCTTTAGTTCAAAGGCTCGGAGTGTGGCCCTCTAAGAAAACAACCTGCTTTGCTCTAAGCACTTTTATGAATCCGGTGTCCATCTTGTTGTGTTAATGAGGTATGGCAACTTGGACCGATGCATAAATGTGCCTGGTCCTACGTTGTAGCTGACTGACTGCTCTGAGGACCCGGGCAGTATCAAATGACTTGTGTGGCGCATATGTATTCGGTGCTACTTCGTACCAATATTTATGTTCAAATAATAATATTATTACATGATGAAATAAAATTGTAATAGAAATAAGGTGAGGAAGAATAAATGATTAATATACAGTTCAGGGAGATGTAGTGGGAACATATATATGAAGGAATATTGGAACTTAAGCTCTAGAAAATAAAGAATGTATGTGTCATCGTGACTGAGTTTGAGCAGTCATACAACAGTAGACCAACAACGCAGAGTCCAACTAAGTGATCTATACTTACTAACATACATAAAACTAAAAATCTATGACTTCATAGACTGATGCTACATCTCGGCCTGTTCATCTCTAGTTGTATTTACCCTGAAGTCAAGATTAAATGTCGAGGTAGGCGATTTGGGCATACATAACAACACATGTGTCAGTTAACTTGGTCGATGAAGAATCATAACCTTATTCCCCGATTTCCCCAGTATAATTCCAGTATTCCTAATACATGGACTTATTATTATTATGAGTAAAACCCAGAATAAGAAACAAATTTAGTCCATGACGAGTATAAAATGGGAAATTAAGAACTACATATAAGTTAATATTCATATGGTCATGAGTAAATACAACTACGCCACTGTGAATAGCTTTGAATAACACCGGTCGATATTCAGTCACTAAAGATAATTCCCAGGATTTAAAGAGGTTTACACTTAATAGGATGACTTAAAGCACCAGTCAAAAGCATTATTTTCAGATGTCATGTCTTGTTCGGTGAGACTACGACTTATGGTAGAAACCAACGAGATTTATGACGTCAAGTTTTGGATTTCGGAGCAAGAGTGAATCATCATAGTTAAGAAGCATTTAGTCGTCACAGATGACCTTATTCTGTGACGAAAATGCTAATTACTAACCCCATATTGTCTGAGTCCTAATTCTATTTCCCCACATTGACATATAGCTTTCAACTCAGAGTAATTGGTTGAATTTTATTGAGGTCATTATAACATCGCTCAAACGTCACTAATAAATGATAGTCTCACTACTAAAATTTACAGCCGACAGATATTCTGTGGCGAGACCAGACGGTCAAGATATCATTCAAAATAGGTTTCCCGAGGGAGTTCTGCAAATGAATGGACAAACAAGGATCATTCAAATGAGACCTAGAACAAACACACACTAACCCCGTATCTTACACTTAAAATCACAATAAAAATAACATTGACATAAGCTGAACTACCAGTAAGCTGAAAGCTAATCAATTTCAATTCAACTGAATCTGGACAGAATAGCTCTCGCTTAATTGGCTTTTGTATCTAGTAATAGTGGATCACCGAGGCCTTCAGGTATGATTCTTGGTATATTTAACAATAAAAGGAAAAATATTGGTAAAGTATACTGATATCATTGAGTCCTTAAGTATGTCATTTTTTTTCGAAAGACTGTTGGAAATTCTTTTCGACTACCTCGACTAGCAATGAATTCTAGATTTTGACCACTCGTGAAGAGCAGAATGTGTGCCTACGGATCATTCTGGCATGCTGTCTCAAACTTCTGAGTGTTAATCATATGGTTTGTATTAGGACTGTGCTTATCTAGGTATTTGAGGCAATGTCTTGCAGTCTCTATGATGCGATAAGCCAGTAGAAGGTCACCTATACTTTTGAAAAGTGAAATACATATTGAGACGCTAGGTGATAAAGGTGATCATAACACAAAGTTCAAAACACATCTGGAAGTGAGACGTGTACACGTCTCAGAATATAACGTTATAACCTGAGCAAAATGCAACACTAATAAAAATGTGGGAGGCCTTAGGCAATACACGATCGTTGGAAAAATTCAAACTTAGGGGTTAACATTCACAAAACATGATATGTCTAAGTTGAGGTTTACAGTGATCCACGTGTACTTCATACCTCCTGATGCATTCTCCAACCCTGCATAGAACAGGAGCTATAAGATATCCATTGATTCGCCCCATCTTCAGAGATTTTCTCTGTTTTCGGTTTAGACATATAGGCTCCCATGCTTGTCTATGCAATAGACAACCTCCCTGAAATTGGCGCGTTAAATTTGAGGGAACTTCGGGAGAGAAAAACACTCTCAAAAATTCATCTTGTTTAATGCGCGATGGACTTTGGAAATTCTTGAGTCAACAATAAATAATAATAACTCGAAAGTGTTTAAATGTTCTTAAGTGCATTAATTTCATTCTCCTTGTGAACTAATTTTGATTTCGTGTACTTATTGAATTACAAGCATACCTGGTCGAGTTTAGCTTGAACTATTTCCGTTAAAGTTTGAAATTTTCTTCAAATTTGTTTTATATTATCCTTTTTTGTTGATTATCATACCAGTGATTACCTTGTGCATTTTGTTGATGCTTTTCCATTATATCCTGTTTAAAATGGTCGGCTCTACTTACAAATGTGGACAGCCAAGTTGCTTCTTCCCTATGGAGGAAGGAAGGCAATGAGATGAGTTCAAAACACGGTTCTACAAGATGTGTACTACTTTATATCCCACCGCATAAAAACATTTTCTGAATCTAACTCTCATTGACTGGTGTTTTCGTTGTTCTACTAAGACATTTCTGCCCCAAGAGGAACTAGCCTGTAGCGGTAAATGAATCCCCAAAATAAATAGTTCTGTAAGTCTTCGACATTTGGTGCTAACCACATTATTTCTGGCGGACACATCTGGCTAAGGGCTCTAGGTAACGCATCCTCACCAAATCACAAGTGGGTACACCGTTCTACACAACCCTTACAACTGCTACCCAGCTTACACCAAACGCTTCTTCTCAGGACATCGATGGTATTCCAAATATATCTTCAAACCCCTTCACTTCTGAACTCTGATTTGACTGGGTTGACATACTTCAATTATAAGTGTTAAGTGCAGAGGCGTTGTCAAACTCCTGATAACTGCGGCATCTTTAGGCCTTCTGACGTTGACCGGAGTGAAATTTGATGAAGAATGAACTGGTAATGAACTGACAATGAAGAATGTCTCAGTGTAGTACGTGCTGTTACGAGATGTGTCGAACACTTAACTACGAAATTGACAAAAGTGAAAACTGCTTTCAGACAAATAAAAGGTTAAATATTACTGGATATTGCCGGTCACAGTCCCACAGTATTACCTTAAGACCTAGATAAAACCGTCACCAACCCAAATAGTTTCGATGTGGCTGTTTTGACTGAGGCGAAATAGACGATAATACGGAAATAATGAGAAAGAAAAATAACAACAAATAGCGCCCTTATGGTTAAAAAGTATTTTGTAGGTACATTCTCTGGATCACATAATACTCCGCTCAAGTCCCAAAGTGAGACAACACGTAACCCTATTGTGGTTGTAAAAAGTGTGATCTTGTGGAATTATGGTCTACTATGATATTAGTACTGCTCCAATAATAGACCTAAATCCCATAATTGAAGATTTGTCATGATATAACTACCTAATCTATAAGATCTTACGTGGAAGTCACGTAATCGTCTACACCAACTCACTACATCGTAACAATTACCAATACATGATGGAGAACAAGCTTAGGCTAGAGATAAGACAATATATTTAATAGGAATAAAAGATATAAGGTAACATTCAGCAGGAGTCACGACCGCATGCCATCCGCTCAACCCCAAATCTTTAGACTCTTTCTTCCAGCCCTCTTCATCGTTGGGTTTTTCTTCGTGATAAATGTTGAATGTCTATTTCCCACATTGTCTAGCATTAGGGCTCAATGCCACTACAAGTTACCTACGGACTGGAAGCATGCAATCGTCACTCCCATACATAAAACAGAATCAAGAAAACTTCCATAAAACTACGGACTTGTCAGCCTCTCATTGTCGTAGGTAAATTACCGGAACTAGTCAAGAAGACCATAATTACATTTGTTGAAACAAATAATTTCTAAAATTCAATGAACATGGCACAACATGGTTTTAGAAAGGGTCTATCCTGTACAACGAACCTCCTTATAGCTAGGTAGCTCTGGATTAATGCGCTAGACAACGGAAACTCAGTGGATGTTGTCTACATAGACTTCAGTAAGGCTTTTGAAAAGGTGCCAACTAATAGACTACTACAAAAGTTGGAAAATCTTGGTATTGCTGGAACTCGTTTAAAATGGATTAAGGATTTACTAGTAGGTCGTAGACAGAAAGTAAGAATAAATTCCAGGTGCTCCATCTGGAGACCAGTACTTAGTGGAGCACCCCAAGGTTCCGTCCTAGGTCCTTTACTTTTTATAATGTACGTTAATGATCTTACAAGTATAGTACAGTCCCCAATGTTATTATACGCTGACGATGTAAAAATTTGGCGAGTAATGACTGGTGACAAAGACGCATGTGCTCTTCAGGCAGACTTAAATATTATGATAAACCGGTCTAAAGAGTGGCTGATGCCTATCAACTCGGAAAAGTGTGTCTACATGCACTTGGGGGATTCAAAGGTTAATAGGTACAACATAGGAGAAGTGGCTGTACCCATGGTCCGGTCTAACAATGATCTTGGAGTGAGATTGAGTCATGATCATAGGACCACAGCCCACTGCCTGGAGGTTGCAGCTAAGAGGTTTAGAACCCTGTAAGCTGAAGATAATCTGCAACCAGAAGAAGAAGTTACGCAGACGGATAAATTAGTGTTTCCGTCTACTAGCCTCCGTTTGCGCGTATCGATGATTAACTTATGGTGTTGTAGAAGGTCCATACCAATGATTGGCATAGAAACTTCTGCAACAACAAAGATCCAGTGAATGGGTCTGCGTAAACCCACGTCAAGGTAAACGTACCTCTTGCCATACGTAGCAATAGGCTTTCCGTTTGCCGCCAGTTAGTCTAAAACCGATTCGTGAAGCCGGTCGTTAGAATTCACTGGGAGAACGCTAACTTCTTCGCCAGTATCGACGAGGTCGCGAACTCTTGTTGTCACATCTGTGACGTACAACAGACGGCATGTTCGCCGGCTATTGTTGACATTAACGCGTGCCGGCTTGGAAGTTTCCGAGTTGTTTTTCGAGTCGGTGGGTTTTTAGTTGGGAAAATTGCCGGGTTTTCTGCAATTTCTGGAAGACTTTCCATACTGGTTATGATACCAGCACCAGTCGGGGTTATCCGTCTCTCGTGGTCTAGAGGCAGATCGTTTACGTGAAGTGCTTCTATGTGGGGTGTGTGATCGCTTACGGTCGTTACGAAATTTAAGATAACGCGTAAGAGTATGACATAACTCTGTTATGTCATTCTGGGTTGTTTGAGGCTTTTCTTTGACTGAAAAAACCTCGACGTTAGATTTCGTGACTTCTAAAATGCGGTTGGCAGATGCAGCTAACTCGTCTAAGGCGTTGTTTTGAAATGAGACAAGCACAGCTTGCACCTGATGAGGAAGTTTGGATAAGAATAGTTGCTTAAATAGGCAATAATCGAAGGTTCTTTAGCCGATAACCTCTCTCATTCGTTGCAACATGTCCGTCGCAGAACTTTGTTACAGCTCGATGTTATTGAGGAGTTGGTCTAACCTTTGTCTATCGGTTAGGTCTCCGCATTAAAGAATAGAACGTTTCAGTGTTTCGTAGGGTTCAGAAACATCACTAGTAAACATACTAGGTGTTACGTACCTGTTGAATTTGCGCGGTAGTGCCTTGACTACTGCGAGGAATTGTGCTCGTTTGTCGACAACGCCGTGCTCGGAGAAGTCGGCTTCTGCGTAGCGAAACCAGGCTTCGATGTTGTCCGGCCAGAAGGACATCAGTTAAAACGAAGGTGGGGACAAAGTCTTAAGCTTAAATACTTTGGGTGTCTGTTCAGTCATAGTGAAATATGAAGTACGAGAATGAACGGGGAAAAATATATATATATCCAAAAACACGGAAAAATATCACATTGTATAAAAAATTAAGATAAGGCAATGAAATATAGAATCCCAAAAAAGAAACAGACTCTCAGTTTACGATTTTGTGTACCAGGTCACGTTAGGTTCACCAATGAAGATGGCACAGGTATTCAGTGTTTGACAACGCTTTAACCAGTAACACCTGCTAATATAACTCGTACCTACCAAGAGGAATCAAAAGATAGAGTCGAGGAGATTGGAAGATATATTTGATGACTATCCATATATCGAGAATCGTCTGATCTAATCTGGCTAGCGATTGCAGTAGATGTTGAGCATGGCGTTTCCACTCGTAATCTGGTGCGGATGCATGACCGAGCGCCTTCAGCTAGGTGAGTCCATTAAAACATGTGGTCAGCATCCAATGTCGAAAACTTACAGAGCTATTTATTTTGTTGATTTATTTACCGCTACAGCTTTAGGACGGATGTTCACTAAGCAAGATACTACCATGTTCACCACAGTATACAAAACCTTTGTGAAAACTAAGCTTGAGAGCTGCATTCCGACTGCAAGCTATTGTTGACTCGGATATCCTGGAAGAAGGACAGAGGGCAGCTGCCCGTGCAACTCCAGAACTCCGGGGTTAACCATACAAAGAACGGCTTGAAAGGCTGGACCTCTTTACACCGTCTTATCGCAGTCTACGGGGAGATCTTATTTCGATTTATAGAATACTAAGAAATGATTTTGGACCTAACTTATTCTCTCTTTTTCTTCCCACTAGATCGGGACACCTCAGAGGATATAGCAGGCGAGTAGAAAAGCCAAGAACGAACAAAATACCCGTGGCATAAAAATTTACACAGAGAGTCATCAATAATTGAACAGCTCACCCGTAGAAGTGATGTCCGCTCCTTCAATTAACTCATTCAAGAGAAGACTGGACAGTCACAGAAGCATAACATTAGCATTAGGCCTTCTGTCCTTACTGCACAAATCCGTATCTGAGTTTCTTTTCCCTCATCGAGTAGTGAATTAAGGAAATTCCCTAATATCAGCACCTTTTTTTCATATTCAAAACTAGATTGAACCTCCACAGTGTTACAAACTGCAAGGACTATTATAAATCTATAGGCCGCCAATCCTTATAACTGAATACCCCAAGCCACTCTGGGTGGCAAGAGAAAGCTCTCCACAGACTTTAAAGTGTGCTACACAAATGCTCGCAGCCTACTAAATAAAATGGCGGAGCTAAAGTCAGTGGTGGATAAAGAAAAACCGGACGTTATCGCTGTCTCGGAAAACTGGTTAACGTCAGAAGTATTAGATAGTGAAATCCAGTTGACTGGTTTCATAACCAGTAGGGCTGATAGATTAAACCGAAGGGGAGGCGGGGTTATTGTGTACACGAAAAGTACCCTAACCATAAGAGTAGCTGAGACAGTAGCACATGTTTCAGGGACATGTGAACTGGTGAGATGTAAGTTGAAATGCCGAAGGCAAGATATTGAAGTAGTTGTAGTTCATCGCAGTCCAGAATGTGTAGCAGATGATTTTCTCCTAAGTAAACTTAGGTCCTGGTGTAACAACGGTAAAAGCCTTGTAGTAGGCGACTTTAATGCACTATATATAAACTGGGTTAACTTAGAAGTAGGGTCATCCATATCGTCGTTGGACTCCAAACTGTTAGAAACCTCGATTGGACTAACATTATTCCAACACATTAGAGATCCCACAAGATACGACTTAAGAAACTCTTCTTCTCTTTTAGATTTAGTCTTCACACACGGTGATGACGTTGGTCAAACGGCTTTTCTCCCACCACTTGGGAGAAGTGACCATGCAGTCATCTTATTCAAATTCATGGCTGAGATTGCTTGTCAAACAATTGCGCCGGCCCGTCCTAACATATGGAAGGCAGATATGCAGGCAATTAACTCCGCAGCATCGGCTGAGAACTGGGAAATTGACTCAAAGGCATCAGTACAAGAGGCATGGACTCTATTCAGGCAGTTATACAATCGGGTAACTCAACCATACATACCCCGGACTGTCCCAAAGAAAAAGAAGCACGGACATCCCTGGATAGGGCGGGATATTCGACGCTTACTAAAACAAAAGAAGAAATGCTGGGATGTTGCCATCCACCTTGGCACAGCAGGTACGATGGAACGCTACAGATCAGTAAGAAACACGTGTATAACTAAAATTCGGGAAGCTCAAAGAATATGAAATGCAGTTGGCAGAATCTGCACTCAAGCAGCCCAAGAGGATATTCTCGTACATAAACTGCAGAACAAGGATTCATCATTGGATTCACAACCTAATTAAAGTAGGAAGTGAATCTGAAATGATAGAGGAAGATCAGGAAAAAGCTGAGGTTATGGCTGACTATTTTGGGGCAGTTTTCACTCAGGAACCTCCTCTAGAGAAAGAATCAGACCAAAATAAAGTCAACAAACCACCTGCTCACTTTAGACTTCGATCAAGACGATGTGCTTAAGGCTCTTAGCACCCTAAAAATGGAGAAGTCAACAGGACCAGATGAACTACACCCTAAAATCTTGAGACATATTGCCCAATATATCGCAGCCCCACTGACTGTGATATTCAAAATGTCACTTGACCAAGGTGTGTTACCTATGGACTGGAAGGACGCAATCGTCACTCCCATACATAAAACAGGTCCACGACAAGTTCCATCGAATTACAGACCCGTAAGCCTCACCAGTGTTGTAATTAAAATACTGGAAAGAATAATCAAACGGACCATAACGGCATTTATGGAAACCAATAACTTGCTGAACATGGCACAACATGGTTTTAGAAAGGGTCTATCCTGTACAACGAACCTCCTTATAGCTAGGTAGCTCTGGATTAATGCGCTAGACAACGGAAACTCAGTGGATGTTGTCTACATAGACTTCAGTAAGGCTTTTGAAAAGGTGCCAACTAATAGACTACTACAAAAGTTGGAAAATCTTGGTATTGCTGGAACTCGTTTAAAATGGATTAAGGATTTACTAGTAGGTCGTAGACAGAAAGTAAGAATAAATTCCAGGTGCTCCATCTGGAGACCAGTACTTAGTGGAGCACCCCAAGGTTCCGTCCTAGGTCCTTTACTTTTTATAATGTACGTTAATGATCTTACAAGTATAGTACAGTCCCCAATGTTATTATACGCTGACGATGTAAAAATTTGGCGAGTAATGACTGGTGACAAAGACGCATGTGCTCTTCAGGCAGACTTAAATATTATGATAAACCGGTCTAAAGAGTGGCTGATGCCTATCAACTCGGAAAAGTGTGTCTACATGCACTTGGGGGATTCAAAGGTTAATAGGTACAACATAGGAGAAGTGGCTGTACCCATGGTCCGGTCTAACAATGATCTTGGAGTGAGATTGAGTCATGATCATAGGACCACAGCCCACTGCCTGGAGGTTGCAGCTAAGAGGTTTAGAACCCTGTAAGCTGAAGATAATCTGCAACCAGAAGAAGAAGTTACGCAGACGGATAAATTAGTGTTTCCGTCTACTAGCCTCCGTTTGCGCGTATCGATGATTAACTTATGGTGTTGTAGAAGGTCCATACCAATGATTGGCATAGAAACTTCTGCAACAACAAAGATCCAGTGAATGGGTCTGCGTAAACCCACGTCAAGGTAAACGTACCTCTTGCCATACGTAGCAATAGGCTTTCCGTTTGCCGCCAGTTAGTCTAAAACCGATTCGTGAAGCCGGTCGTTAGAATTCACTGGGAGAACGCTAACTTCTTCGCCAGTATCGACGAGGTCGCGAACTCTTGTTGTCACATCTGTGACGTACAACAGAACGAACAAAATACCCGTGGCATACAGGTTTCACACCGAGTCATCAATACTTGGAACCTGGTGCCTGAAGCAGTGGTGTCCGCACTTTCAATTGACTCTTTCAAGAGAAGACTGGACACTCACAGAAGCATAATAGAAAAGGAATAACATAGGCCGTAGCCCTCTGTCCTTACTACACAAATCTGAATCTGAAATCTGGATGGCGGGTTGTTCGGAAGGTGGTCGCTGACTGCCAACATTACAAACCGGAGTTGAGTTTATTTCAGGTCGTTACCTGAACAGATTACCTAGCTGTACCAAAATTTCTGCATAAGGTAAGTGATTCTTTATGATTAAAATGAGGTGTCTCAAGTTAGTTAAGCTTTCGAATTTCGTTTTGTTGATTAATTCATATATGATTTAATATATGTATAAATATATATACTAATATATCAATTTTGTATTTTCATTTTATCTAAGATGAGAATTTTTTCGAACTACGGACGCATTTTGTCCTACCCAAGCAACCAGTAAAGGGAAGATAAAGTCTAACAAAGGGGAAATGAAGAGGAAAATAGGTTCTAAAATAATGGGGGAACGCGCCTTAATGTCTGCTTTTTCGCCTATCAGGAGAGATAATGCATATTTTCCACTTTATGCCTCTGTATTTTAAATGTTGCAGGACTTTACTTTTCACCCAAATACACTCTAACTTGTTTACTTTCCGGCGAAATACACGATAATTTGTCTTATTTTTCGCCTATAAAACCGCCGAATAATCTGCTTTTCTCCTAAACACACGCCAAATCATCTACAGTTCGCCTTAGTGCACGACGGTTTACCTAATTTTGCTTCAATTTTTAACACAATTTTGGCTTAATCCCAAACGTCTCCTGTGTTCGCATTTATTTCCATAACACCACACGACAAGTGCAATCGACGTTTAAAAAGGGGTACATATCTGAATAAGTTTATTGAGAAGAAAATAATTTCATATTGTACAACATTATCAGTAGTTGACAAATGCTAGAGCATCGATTGTTATGTATTTTAATTATATTTGCCAAGTCATATTGTAATTCGAAAAGATCCACAAAAGAAAGAACAGATTATGTGTTATGAACTAGGCACGTGTAGTTAATTACAAGCGCATTTAAAACCAAACAGGCTTCCTCAACATTCACTCAAAGAGTTCCCCATGCAAGTTAGAAAATAAACTCATGTTTTAAAAAAATGTTTATTAAAAACGAGGTTGAGCATGAAAAATATCCCACTGGTTATCTCCTTTTGTAACGCCTGTTAGACCGTTGAGAAGAAAAGTAATCTTCTTGTGAATTCTGAAATTTTAATTAACACAAAAAATTGAAACGATACCTAACTGCTATTGTTTTTCTAAGCAACTATCTATGTGAAGTTTTACTTACGGTTATGTTCGTTAACACTGGACATTGTACCTGTAGAACAGTAGAGAATAGTTATCATCTCAAATTAGTGCATACATGTTCTTTTTTTCTTCGATGACGCTTTTGTAATTTGTCACATGTGGAAATGCCCTTGCGCCGCGATGTCATACAGTTTCACAAGGTTTTTTCCCGTTGACGGATTATAAAAGGAACCGATTAAGTCATTCTATCCCTAATATCATTTTTCTTCGAAGTGTATACTCTATGATCGGTCGTTCTTACTACTATTAACATTGCTGTAATCTCTAAGCTGTTACGGTGTAGAAAATCTTTCCCGTGCATATTTTTATCAGATTCTTTATTGATTATAACTAAACAAGAATGGCGTAGGGCACTGGTTTAAGAATTATTCAATATAATGGAGTTTTATTAGTGTCATTATTATTTGTATTTATTTGAGACATTTTTTATTAGCTTCAAATAAAATAAAAGTTGAGATATTGGTTTTTTTGTAGCCTAATGATTCGTACTGGAAAGTTTCTGTTATTTTGCATCTCTCGCCCATCAGTTCGATGTTTGAGTTCCTTTGAAAGTGCACAAAATCCAGTCAATCTTTATCCAAATTCTGATCCTAACGCTGTTTTCAAGAAACCTACTGAACCAAGTATTGTACGTTCATTGATTTATGTTTATTGCTTATCATTTTGTAATTGTCTTGTATCATAGAACCAAAATGTTTTCAATGGATATATCCCTATCGGTATAATTTGTGTGCCCTTGAGTAACACTACATAATTTTTTTGACTAGACGAACTTCAAATATCCTATGCGTATTCGAGTGGTCCAGGAGGACAACATGTGAATAGAAGTATGTTTGTTTATATTTTGTGAAATTAATTTTTATATCAATCTTGTGTTATGAGTTTATTCTACGTGACATCAGCATCATTGAAATAATAAAAGTTGGCAACACCCCTAGAAAGGAGTTAGAAACGGTTGACTCTAAGAATGTCACACTTCACCTTGTCCAACGGACGTCAGTTCCTGGTTGTAAGGCCTTTTAAAGTGCAGAGCTAACACGCGAAATTCTCACCAGAAGACCGTGCGTGTTCGGCTTCAGATAGTTTCCAATTAGACTCGGTGGTCACGCTCCCAGATTACTCGGACCACCCCTACCCCAGCGCAAGATAAAACATCGTCTCACGTGGTGACTCCCACAATCGACTCAATGATGAACTTAAATAGACCACATTGCTAGCAGTCATCGTTTCACAAGCTCGATAGGAAGCTATCGCTCATTATGAAGCACATGTTTAGACTCAGATCATGGTCTAGTATGTGCACGCATTTGTTGCGTCCTACTGGATGTAAAAAGCCACAGCAACAAAACATCTTTGAGTTCAAATTACTGATGAGAAAGTCAAGAGTGTGTACTTCCTGAACAACTAGAGAAGCAGTCTGTCAACCATGAAAGTGATATCCAGCATGAGGTTGGCTAAATAATCAAAAAGCTGTGAAAACAGCAGTGATATGTACCAAAAAACTTAAGCTAAAAGGTTGAGAGAAATCAGTGGAATTCAGCGGCGTTTTCTCAACTGGTAGATGCTCGGGAACTCACACTATCTGGCTCACAACACGAGGAGCGAAATCAACTTAAATATATTTTGGTAAAGAGCCTACGTAATGATCATGAACAGTGGTAGGTAGCGAAAGCGGTAGAGATGGAAAAGATAGCAATGTTACGTAACAATAGACAACTGTTCAGACTTATCAAGGAAACGGGTATTAAGAATCCAGTTGTTAGTGAGACTGAGAAAGATGGGAATACCAACCACCCCTGAGTGTTCTGGTATGGCTGAAGGTGGGGAGAGTCTGCTCTCCATCTCCAAATGCTCTCACATGGGCACGCGTAAACAGACACTGACCCGGAAACCCTACTCAGTGCCTTCTCTCGGCTGGGGTGTTTACGCAACTGAGAGGACGAAAAGTAAATGTCTGACGCTTTGACCCGTTTGATAGGTATGGAGGATCTACCTAGATGAGTTGGAAAACCATGATTCCAAACCAATGGTGCACATCCTAAGGAAAAAAGGCGTATGAACCAATTGTGGGCCATCGGATACCATGGGACTGGATCTAAAGTTCGTGCACTGCCTTATGGATAAGACATTCAGGTCAAAGACTCGGGTAGTGGTTCCCTAAGGAAACCATCTGCCTCGGTTTGGACGCCGCTACAGTAGACCCTTGTCGTGTTGCGAATTGCTACAAGTTACTTCTATTACTCTATTACAGTGTAGATGCATTTTTAAAAATGCATTAACATTTGTCACAAGCTTAACTTCGAAATTTGTGTTTTCTTTTCCTTTTCGATACTCTTGATTAGTTTACGCCTTATTCTTACTGGTTGAAGTATAATATACTGATGACCTAGGGCGACTTATCAGCCTATCAGTAAACGTTGCCTAGTTATATAACAATTGGTAAAATATGTTTTATTTACCGCCACAACAGTAAAATAACGGCTTTGATTCGTTGTAATTGGAAACGAAGGTCAAGTTTACCGTTGCTGCTACCTTGGCGTGGTGGTCGGGCTTGCTTATCGTGATGAACCAATCGGCCTATACTGGCTGAAACAATTGTTCCTCAAGGTTCTACCATGCCAGACAGGTCGGTTGAGGGGCGATAAGACTAGATAATGCCTATAAAAATGGCATGTGCCTGTCCTAGTAGAAATATATCATTATCTGTCGCCTGGAGAAAGACGTCTCGACCTTGAGCATGCGGATGATATTGCCTTACTATGTGATGATGCACATGTAATACAATCCGCACTTAATCAGCTGGCAATTAGTTTCCGTAGGTATGGTATGCGATTCGCACCTTCGAAGCGCAAAGTACTTCTACAAGACCGGCAGGACCCTGATCTTGCACTCATTTTGGATAGTGAACAGATAGTAGTCGAGAATTTTGTATATCTGGATAGCTTCATAAGTGCTCTCGGTGACGTCAGTGCTGAGACCAATTCACGTATAGTCAAAGCCAGAGCGGTTTATTCCAATCTGGGTCCTCTTTGTTACCGTGATGTTAGTATGGCTGTCAAAGGTCGGATTTACAACGTGTCGGTGGGAGCAGTTTTGCTCTATGCTTGTGAAACCTGGCCTCTCCAAGTTGAGGATGCTAGATGACTCTGTGTTTTATCGTTGTTGTCTTCGAAGGATTACTGACATCTAGTGGCAGTATCACGTTAGTAATGAAGATTTTCGGCATCGTGTGTTCGGACACAGCACGATAATTCAATTGGTTTCACTATCTTGAAATGTCGACTTCGGTGGCTTGTACATATTTTACTTATGTCGTCCCAGAGTATTCCACGTCGTGCATTGTTTGCCACCGCTGGGACTGTTAGGAAAAAGCGGAGAGGTAGTTAGTGTGTGACATGGTGTCGTGGTATGAGAGAAGGCGGTATAGGAGTTTCTTCTGTTGGACTTTCAATACTCTCTGGTTAGGGTCCTAGAAATGTTGCAACATAGTTGCTAGAGATGTTATCATCTATGGCTCAGAATAGAAGCCAGTGGCGATCCTGCCATAACTTTCTATTACTTCATAAAAGTGAACGTAACTTCTTTAACTGAAAGAATTCTTCCTGGTTGTATTTTTACCAACTGAACTGTTTCTCTTACTGATATTATTATTATTATTATTATTATTATTATTATTATTCCACTCTCATACACTGATTTCTGTTTGTTGTTGTTGTTCTTTTATTATACTCATTTTACATTATCTCTTCAAATCTTTATTATTATTCTGTGGCGCATGTGCATTTGGTGCCCCCTTGTACCAATTTTTATGTGTTCAAATAAAATAAGTAAATCACTCTAAATCTAGGAGATTGTACAGATGGGCAGAACTTTTTAAAGAACATATAAGAACTTCCGATGGAGAGTGAAAATAAATCAGGTCTAGGTTAAGCAAATGTCTAAGTAACGACTGTGAGCAGTGGTGGGCAACGAAATCAAAAGAGATGGAAAAGGCGGCGACTGTAGGTAACGCAAAACAACTCTACAGACTAATAAAACAAATGAACTAAAAAGTCAAGTGTAAGTGAGACTATTTCGGAAAAAGACGACACTTTTATCTGCTTCTAGTCCAGACGTTTAGAACGATGGGCGGAACATTTTAAGGAGCAGTTCAGCTGTCCTTCAGCTACTCTACAACTACCCACCATTCCCGGACAGCGTGAATAAAACATTGAAGTAGGTCCCTCGACTCTAGCTGAAGTTATAGATCATTGTATTATACTCTTTAAATAACATCTCCAAACACTACTTTTCCTGATTACTGCTTATACTCTCATTACCTTTACCACTACGGGATTTGAATCGACCACTACATCTGTGTGCTAATGTGGTGTGGCAACTCGAACTGATGTACGTACGTACGAAGTTCTACGTTGTTACTGACTGAACTGACAGACTGACTCTTTAACGAGGAAGGGCAGCTGGTCCAGGTGGATTAACTCCAGAAGTCTTTAAGGATGGTGGTTTAATTTTAGCGATTAGGTTGACCAATATTTCGGCTGAAATCTGGGAGTTGGACGTGATCCCATCTGACTGGTGGCAATAACTTATCGTCCCAATATATAAGAAAGGATCAAAATCATCCTGTGATAACCATAAAGGGATTAGTTTGACTAACATAACATCTAAAACACTAGCATCAATAATTATCGGACGCCTAACTAGGACTCGTGAACTGCGAACACAATAGAATCAAGCTGGCTTCAGACCTGGTCGTGGCTGCATCGACCACATACTCACCATTCGTCATTTTATTTTATTTTATTTTATTTGAACACATAAATATTGGTACAGAAGAGCGCCAATATATATGCGCCACACAAAACAATGAGAATTCGAAGAGAAATAATAATAAAAAAAACTAAGGAGCCCAAAAAGAAAAAGAGAACAATAACGAAGAGATTGCTGTAAGGTAGTGTGGTAGTAACGAGGTACAATCAGAAGAAATCTTTCAGGTAAAGGAGACACAACCACTTTTTATGAAGAAAGTAAAAGAAGGTTACAGCAGGATCGCCACTGGCTTCTATTCTGAGCCATATCTGATAACGTCTCTAGCCACTGTGTAGCACCATCTCTCGGACCCCAACCAGGGAGCCGTGAAGGACCAACAGAAGCCAGTCCTTTGCAGCTTTCTTTCATGCCACGACACCATGTCATGCACTGACCACCTCTCCGCTTCTTCCAACCAGTCCCAGAGTCGGCAAATAATGCACGACGTGGAATTCTCTGGGACGACATTCGGAGAACATGTCAAAGTCACCGAAGTCGGTGTTTCAAGATGGTGACATCGACTGCATTATCATCTCTGTGCCCGAACACACGATGCCGAACCTCTGCATTACTGACATGGTGTTGCCACTGAATGTCAGCAATCCTTCGGAGACAGCGATGACCGAACACAGAGAGTCGTCTAACGTCCTCAACTCGGAGAGACCAGGTTTCACAAGCATAGAGCAAAACTGCTCTCAACGACGCGTTGTAGATCCGACCTTTTACAGCCAGACTAACATCACGAAGGCGCCGAAGGTGGCCCAGATTGGCATAAGCCGCTCTGGCTTTCACTATTCATGCATTGATCTCATCACTCACACCCCCACCAGCACTTATGCAGCTACCCAGATACACGAACTTCTCGGCTACGTCTATCTGCTCACCATCCAGGGTGAGTACGGGATTGGAATCCTGCCAGTCTTGTAGAAGTACTTCGCACTTCGAAGGTGCAAAGCACATACCATACCTACGGACACTGATTGTCAACTGATTAAGTGCGGATTGCATGCCTTGGGCATTATCGCACAGTAAGACAATATCGTCCGCATACTCAAGGTCGAGAAATCTTTCTCCAGGCGACAGATCCACACCGCCATTACTTACATTCATCAGAGCTGTTTTCAGAATGTCATCGATGGCAAAGTTGAAGAGGAATGGTGAGATTGGGCAACCCTGCCTAACCCCACTGCTCGAATGGAACAATGGAGAAAGGTGGTTGTATGCCCTCACTCTGCCTGAGGTGTTTGTATATAGGGCTTTTAGGATAATAATAAACTTCTCAGGCACACCCTTCTTCAATAGACAATCCCAGAGAACAGCCCTGTCCAACGAATCGAAGGCAGCCCTAATGTCAAGAAACACTACGATTGTTGGCCTTTGATAAGTACGGCGGTGTTCTAACATTAGGCGGAGGGTGAATATATGATCAATACATCCTCGACCAGAACGAAACCCAGCCTGCTCCTCGCAAGTCAATCTTTCTCGGGTTTTGAACAACCTACGAAGTATGACGGAAGCCAATAGCTTGGACGCGATCGGAAGTAGACTTATCCCCCGATAGTTGTTGCAGGAACGACGTGAACCCTTTTTAAAGATAGGGACAACTATCGACTCATTCCATGACGTTGGTACACTCTCTAGTTCCCAAACCTTTGTAAACAACGTCGTCAAATCCTTAGTCAAAAAGTCACCACCATCTTTAAAAAGAGCCGGAAGTAAGTCATCTGGGCCAGGTGATTTGCAACGCTTCAAGAGTTGGAGTTCCTTGCGGACTTCCGCCTCATTCGGTGGATCAGTCGTCACCGGCCATGGAGGGCAGGACAGTCTGACCGATGTTGCCGGAGCAGCAGGCCAGTTGAACTGCCCTTCGAAAAATCCTGCTCTTTACTCGAACACTAAAAGTCGAGTCAGGGCTTATGGCGAACACCACTTCAAGTGGTGTTTGTCAAGGCTGTCCACTCTCTCCATTTTTGTTTAACTTCATCATAGACCTACTGATGGAAATAACATTTTCGTCGACTGAATTCTCGGGTATTGATCTCCTTCCAGGAGGTCCACTTATCGATTTAGAATACGCAGATGACATAGTCCTGTTTGGTGAAGACGCTGATAAGATGAAGAGTCTTCTGGTAGCACTAAGCAACAATGCCAGAATGTTTGGAATGCGCTTCTCTCCCTCGAAATGCAAGTTGTTGCTTCAGGGCTGGTCTGCGTCAACACCTGAACTACAGATAGGGAGTGAAGTAGTTGAACGCGTCGACAACTCCACTTAACTTGGAAGTGTGATCAACCCTAATGGGTTGGTGTCTGACGAAATCTCAGCACGGACTCGAAAAGCTCGTTTGACTTTTGCCAACTTACGTCACCTATGGCGAAGGCGAGATATCCGTCTGTCAAGTAAAGGACGAGTATACAGTTCGTCAGTCCGTTCTGTTTTAATTTACGGCAGCGAAACATGGCCATTAAGAGTAGAAGACACTCGTAAGCTATTAGTATTTGACCACAGATGCCTTAGAAATATTGCTGGCGTCTGCTGGGATCACCGGGTAATTAGTAGTGAGGTTAGGTGCAGAGTATTAGTGAATGATGGTAAATCAGTTGATGAGGTTGTGGATCTTCATCGACTGAGATGGTTGGGCCACTTGTTGTGTATGCCTGAACACCGATTACCACGACGCGCAATGCTTACTGGTGTAGGGGGTGGTTGGAAGAAAGTTAGGTTCGGCCAAGCCAAAACGTGACATCAGTGCTTGAAGTCACTAACTTCTGGTCTGTGTCATGTTGGTAGATGCGGACTACTTGGCTGGTGTCCGTGTGACTATGGTAACCAATGGTTGGAGACTGTGTGTGACATGACTCAGAATCAATCACAATGGTGTAGTTGTATACACTCTCTGTCTTCCCTTAAACTAAGAAATTAAAATCGCTTCATATCTTTCTTTCTACGAACTAATTCTTTCTTTCTGTACTACGTCCTTACCTGCTGAATTAACCACTTCTACGAATTTGGTGTTTATGTTGTTGTGCTAATGAGGCATGGCAACTTGGACCGATGCGTATATGTGCCTGGTCTTACGTTGGAGCTGACTGACTGAATAAGAACTTCCACCTAGATTTGATCGAATAGTTTCGCAGTATTTGGGCGCCAAGTCGATGTAATACTTTAAGGCGGAAGAATGTATCTGTAAAATCTCAACGAATGAATTTGAAGTAAATCCAACGTTTCTCCTGACAACCTGGTCCAAGCTTTTTAAGGAAGTATAATCAAACTGTGTTGATAAGTGCAAGCTACATGATTAGGGTCCGCAAATTAATCCTTACCATTGATTCAAGATGTTGAATGATATGATTTAGAATCAGTCCCAATGGTGTAGATACGTTCACTCTCTCTCTCTCTTCCTCATAGATTCCGGGTTTTAACATTATCTTTTACTGTTTATTGCATGATTTCACTTTCTCGACTCATATTCTGTATGCCTAATGCTTCATACTACCAGTAATAATGTTGCTACTTCTAATACTTTGGGATTAATCGTGATATTTTTATGTTAGTGTGTTAATATGGTGTGGCAGCCTAGACCGATTTATATACATGGCCAGGCTCTATATAACTTTTGACTGACTGGTCAGATTATATTATCCCTATTTCTCTATGATGTTTTTTTAGATAAAACGAAAGTGGAGATACGTTTTCATGTTCCATCAGCGTCATGGATACCAGATCAAGTTAAACAACTATTTATGGAAAGGGTATTTCTTTTATTGCCTATATTTGTTAATTTGTTTCCACAATTTTTAGGAGGCTAATCGAATTAATAAAGAGAATTACTTTATTATTACATCGGATCATACTAGGAAACAAATATTAAATCAAGCTGATTGTTTAGAACGAATTCGTCGTATAATCAGGGAATGTGTTAACTCATTAAATAAACCTGAACCAAGTCCTGAAACTTTGGAAGCAATTCAGTCTCGGTGAGTTCTTTAAGATGATGTAGAATATTGGTAGCTTATGGTTGAAAATTTTGGCGGTTTTCTTTCTGGAATGTATGGCTTAGTCGAATATACCGTCGAGTTTAGAAAACAAAGCACCAAAATAGTCGTAATGTGTTTGTTTGATAAGTAAAAATAATGTCAACGTCGTTATTTTTTATTCTATATGATAAGACATTCAATGAAGATTCCATGGCCGAGGTAGTTTGAGTCTGTTGCACAGCTTTTGGCATCGCAATTCATCGAGAGCGTGCCTGCTGCCATTTCCTAACAGCTGAAATTGGTAAGCGCTGCACAACTCATGGATATCAGTGACCAGACAGTTGATGACCTAAACAATAACTCCGATGGGTTGCGGAAGTCAAGAGATAAGCAGTATCAAGAAAATAGAGGAGCTGAAGCATGAGATTGCCAAAATACAAGTGAACAATAACAGGAATGATAAATGTTACGCTTGTTGAGGAACTGGGCGTTGGAAGAAAAACTGTCAAAAAAGATGAAAACTCAGAGATTTTAGACGATATAATTTGTGTTCTTTCTACACAATGAAACCTAGGGGTTGTTGCACTAGTCGATAGAGGGGCAGTCTATGCTAGAGTAAGCATAAATAAACGAGATTTAGTGTATCTGATTGATACAAGGGCAGCAGTATCGGTAATAGACGAAGGGCAATGTAAAAGACTTAAGCCATGTACATTATCTGTCCACACCATAGGGTTTTGGGAATGTCTAACAGTATCGTAAAAGTTAAGAATCAGGAAGGTGGTCACGAACTACGATTCATTCCTAATGCATGAAAGTAGCGAAGTGGCTAAGATGTAAGTAACAACAAAGTTAATGAGTTGCTCACAAAATATACGAGACTGTTCACGGGAGACGGAGAGCCGTACGGAATTTATGACCAAATGAAGCATGGATTTTTGATAAAAGACGATTGAGTAACTATATTCGCAACATATCGTGTTCCCGTGCATTTGAAGGCTGAGGTAAATCGACAAATCCAGGAGATTTTAAATGAAAGTATAACTGAAGAAGCGGACAGACCGTACAGCTCGCCAGTCTTCTTTATAAGGGAACCAAATGGAAAGTACAGATCCTGTGTCGACTTTAGGGAACTGAATAACATAACAGAATTGAAATTGTGTGCAATGCCAATAATAGCGGAAACATTAGACCGGTTACAGAATGCTACAGTGTTTACATTGCTGGATTTGCGGTCAGGTTAATGGCCACTATCTACAAAAGAGAGCGATCGAAAAAAGACATTTACCGTTTGTGATAAGCAGTATTAGTGTAGGCGAATGTCTTTTGGGTTGGCAGGTGCACTGATTACGTTCAGAAGATTAATTACGCTGCTACTCAGGGATCTAGATAACGTCGAGGTGTATGGCGACGATGTAGTTGTGTACAGCCGTACAGACTTCGTAAAGCATGTGGAAGCGGTCCTAAAGTGAATTGAAGGATTCGGACTACGAATTAATAAAAACAAGTGAAAAGTAGCGTCACTTTTTTAGGGCATAAAGTGGGAAACGGAAAAATAAAACCACTGCCAGAGAAAATTCTAACCATAAAGAACATCGCTACACGTTGGGTAAACACCATGCTTATCGCAGACTAGCGGGCATGAACAATGACCGAAGTAGTAGTCCGGTACATTGTGGCATGTCATGGATTACCGAAGGCGATATTAACCGATCAGGTTCCCTGTTTTGAAAGTGATGAGGTTTAAAGCTTTTCTAGGGCAGTTTAGCATCAAGAGGACACGATTCACACTGTACCCCCCGTAGACGGACGGACTTACAGAAAGAAATACCCGGACATTAAAGGAATGGTTAGCTTCTAAAGGAGGGAATTGGGAGACAGAATTACCATTGATATTGCTGGCTCATCGTGCCTCCATATGAGGAACAACCAAGAAGTCACCTCTCCCTGCTGGTGTATGCTAGTCAGCCGCGACTTCCAATACATAATAAAACCTGGCCACAACAACAGAAGTGAACGGCAACGAGGTCAAGAAAAGAGAGGAAGGAGGCAATAAGGAACATGAAAAGGAAGCAAATATCAAACACAAAGAAGGAGGAACAGCAGAAAAAGAAGTGGAAGTTTTTTTTCAGCGGGCGACATGGTTAAATGTAAAGAACGGAAATACACAATAGAAGCGGACCAGGATCAGGGAGGCTGATCCTGAAGTAGGGAGAACCGTACATTTTCACGGAAAGGAGACCATCAGAAGCGCGGAAATGACAGTCAAGTACAGAGATGATTTCAGTGGCATCATGTAGGAGCGTCACGAACACCGACAAAGAAAAGAGCGGTACAACTTTGGAAACGACCGCAGGAACAGCTTATTAAAAGGGAAGATGAGTGTGGTGCATGCTACTCATACTGACAGATATATGTAGTATGTAACATCTATCAAAAGTGGAAGGCTTGCCGAGAGAAAGTTGAAAAAAATTGAACTGAAGAAAACAAAAAAAGGGAACAGAAACGAATTGTGAAGTAGAAGAATCATGTAGAATGTAACGAACAATTGATGGAAGATTTGCAAATGGAGTATTTAATGTATGGTATGTATGTGTGCATTAGATAATAGATTAGTTATCTTCACCTTGTCTTTGTTAACTATAGGTCTAGTTTATGTATACTGACCTTGTCTAAATGTATACTTCCAACTTTCGTATATGGATTATACCTATTAATATGAAGATTGTATTTAAAACTGAACACACCGGTTAGTATTGACAGTAGTGGTAGAAAGATGTAAATCCTCACTTCTGGCTTGTTTGCTTTTATAGTTATAAGCCTGCTCTATAATATTTTATTATTTGACCGTCAGGACCGATTCGACCATTTTCACAGAACCAAACAAACTAAGCCCGCCGAATGCCCTGGTATGGCCGAGAGTGGGGAGAGTCCGCTCTCCCTCTCGAATACTCTCACACGGCCGCGCGTATACAGCCTCTGCCAGGGAAGTCCTACTCATTGCCTTCTCGTGGCGGGGGTGTTGTTTACGAAAATGAGAGGACGAAAAGCGAATATCCGGCGCTTTAACCGGATCACAAACCAATGGTGCACATGGGCTCCAGTATCCTGCGGGAACAAATGGCGTATGAACCAATCGTTGGTCACCGGCTACCATGGGACTGCATCTCCTTACGATGCTCCACTGCCTTGTGGGTTAGACCTTTAGGTCAAAGGCTCGGGGAGTGGCCCCCTAAGATAACCACCTGCTTCGGTTTGGGCACCCGGGCAGTATCACAGCCCACACACAAATGATGAACTCTTTATGTCTATGGAAATTACTTTTCTAGCTTTGAAAAACAACCAATTGATTCAAATTATTATCATTACAATTATTGTCATTATCAATAATATTATTATTATTACTATTATTGTCATTATTATTATTATTACTATTATTATTTTCCACATTATTCACCCTCTTTTATACTTATACAGTGGCTCGTCTTTGGTGGAAATTCGACTATATCTAAACGTTCTCGAGTCACTGTCCGGTTGAAAATTGTATGTTACCACCGAATACGAGAACTGAAGCAGTTTTTCTGAAACCACGTGCACCATTCAAACTGGCTGCCTTCAACGTTCGCACACTTATGCAGGTCGGACAACAGATAGGGCTGGTTATGTCTTTGGAAAGTCTTCATATCGATGTCTGCTGTCTATCCGAGACCCGTATTCAAGACTCTGGCGAAGTACTACAAATTCGCTCTACATCTGTCACTTCAAAAAGCTTGTTTTACGTGCGCTTATCCGGGGACCCTGTGGCATCTTCATCTGGTCTTGCTGGCGTTGGTGTCGCACTAAGCGCTAGAGCTGAGGCAGCACTAGTCGATTGGATCCCCATTAACAGTCGGTTATGTGCTGTTAGATTAGAAAGTTCCATCAAAGTGAGAAGAAATCGGCGTGAGAAACGATGTCTTTTCGTCATTTCCGCCTATGCTCCGACAGATTGCAGCCCGGATGCAATCAAGGATGAGTCTGGACTCAGATTGATCACGTCGCGATCAGCTACCGCTGGCGTGGTTGTGTACAAGACTGCCGCTCCTTTTGGAGTACTTATCTGGACTCTGACCATGCCTTGGTCTGCGCCAATCTTGCCCTACTTTTCAGTGGACAACGAAGTGACCGCCATCAACGGATTGATATAAGCAAACTGGTTGCAACTTCTGTTGCAAGTAAGTATCGAATCGAGCTAGCCTCTAGGTTAGCTACCATTCCACCGAAAAGTATAGATGAGCATTGGTTGCAATTGCATGACGCCATGAAAGTGGCGGGAACAGTCAGTTGTGGGTTTGCGAAACGTCCCGCTTTTAAGCACTGGGTTTCTTCTGGTTCCTTACAACTCATTGAAGCCCGTCGGTCTACTCCGGGTGACCGTGAGTTTGACCATAAACGAAGGATATTACGTAAGGAAATCGGGCAAAGCTTGCGTAAGGACCGAGAAGCCTGGTGGTCGAAGCGTGCTAATGAGCTGGAAGCAGCAGCTGCGTCTGGTAACTACCGGAAGCTCTTCCAGCTCATCCGAGCCACTGGCAGCAAGAAGTCTGGTGTGAGTGAAACAATCTGCGAGGATGATGGGATGCCAATCACTAACATCCATCGACGTCTTGGACGGTGGGCAGAATTTTTCGAAGGGCAGTTCAACTGGCCTGCTGCTCCGGCAACATCGGTCAGACTGTCCTGCCCTCCATGGCCGGTGACGACTGATCCACCGAATGAGGCGGAAGTCCGCAAGGAACTCCAACTCTTGAAGCGTTGCAAATCACCTGGCCCAGATGACTTACTTCCGGCTCTTTTTAAAGATGGTGGTGACTTTTTGACTAAGGATTTGACGACGTTGTTTACAAAGGTTTGGGAACTAGAGAGTGTACCAACGTCATGGAATGAGTCGATAGTTGTCCCTATCTTTAAAAAGGGTTCACGTCGTTCCTGCAACAACTATCGGGGGATAAGTCTACTTCCGATCGCGTCCAAGCTATTGGCTTCCGTCATACTTCGTAGGTTGTTCAAAACCCGAGAAAGATTGACTTGCGAGGAGCAGGCTGGGTTTCGTTCTGGTCGAGGATGTATTGATCATATATTCACCCTCCGCCTAATGTTAGAACACCGCCGTACTTATCAAAGGCCAACAATCGTAGTGTTTCTTGACATTAGGGCTGCCTTCGATTCGTTGGACAGGGCTGTTCTCTGGGATTGTCTATTGAAGAAGGGTGTGCCTGAGAAGTTTATTATTATCCTAAAAGCCCTATATACAAACACCTCAGGCAGAGTGAGGGCATACAACCACCTTTCTCCATTGTTCCATTCGAGCAGTGGGGTTAGGCAGGGTTGCCCAATCTCACCATTCCTCTTCAACTTTGCCATCGATGACATTCTGAAAACAGCTCTGATGAATGTAAGTAATGGCGGTGTGGATCTGTCGCCTGGAGAAAGATTTCTCGACCTTGAGTATGCGGACGATATTGTCTTACTGTGCGATAATGCCCAAGGCATGCAATCCGCACTTAATCAGTTGACAATCAGTGTCCGTAGGTATGGTATGTGCTTTGCACCTTCGAAGTGCGAAGTACTTCTACAAGACTGGCAGGATTCCAATCCCGTACTCACCCTGGATGGTGAGCAGATAGACGTAGCCGAGAAGTTCGTGTATCTGGGTAGCTGCATAAGTGCTGGTGGGGGTGTGAGTGATGAGATCAATGCATGAATAGTGAAAGCCAGAGCGGCTTATGCCAATCTGGGCCACCTTCGGCGCCTTCGTGATGTTAGTCTGGCTGTAAAAGGTCGGATCTACAACGCGTCGTTGAGAGCAGTTTTGCTCTATGCTTGTGAAACCTGGTCTCTCCGAGTTGAGGACGTTAGACGACTCTCTGTGTTCGGTCATCGCTGTCTCCGAAGGATTGCTGACATTCAGTGGCAACACCATGTCAGTAATGCAGAGGTTCGGCATCGTGTGTTCGGGCACAGAGATGATAATGCAGTCGATGTCACCATCTTGAAACACCGACTTCGGTGACTTTGACATGTTCTCCGAATGTCGTCCCAGAGAATTCCACGTCGTGCATTATTTGCCGACTCTGGGACTGGTTGGAAGAAGCGGAGAGGTGGTCAGTGCATGACATGGTGTCGTGGCATGAAAGAAAGCTGCAAAGGACTGGCTTCTGTTGGTCCTTCACGGCTCCCTGGTTGGGGTCCGAGAGATGGTGCTACACAGTGGCTAGAGACGTTATCAGATATGGCTCAGAATAGAAGCCAGTGGCGATCCTGCTGTAACCTTCTTTTACTTTCTTCATAAAAAGTGGTTGTGTCTCCTTTACCTGAAAGATTTCTTCTGATTGTACCTCGTTACTACCACACTACCTTACAGCAATCTCTTCGTTATTGTTCTCTTTTTCTTTTTGGGCTCCTTAGTTTTTTTTATTATTATTTCTCTTCGAATTCTCATTGTTTTGTGTGGCGCATATATATTGGCGCTCTTCTGTACCAATATTTATGTGTTCAAATAAAATAAAATAAAACAAACTAATATGTGCATATTTAGATAATCATATATATATATATATATATATATATATATATATATATATATATATATATATATATATATATATATATAATCGGTTGATAACTGAGTAGTCTCCAATGACATTTTTGTATATTCCTTTCGTGGTTATTGTATTCTATCGGTTGAATTGCAATGTCTCGACTATTTTAAGTGATTTTCTATCGTGTACATTATATTTAGATGTTACATGGCTCACAGTATTGCAGTGGGAACCCTGAACCTAAGTTTGTTCTGTTCAACGCACACCAAAAAAGTGTACCTGCAGTTTTCAGGAAACTAGTTCTCTCAGTGGTGTTTTAGCTGCATCAAGCAGCACAAATCAATGTAAGTATTCCACTCCTACGGGCGGTTAATCATGTTTCGAATAACTAAATGTGTAACATTTCTGACTGTGACATGCGTTCAAATTCCATGGTTAACCCCAATTATACCAAAATTATAGGTGTTAACTAGCACGAAACAATGGGCGAGTTGGATTTCCTGCATACTACCTCCAACAAATTAATATCAAACTAACTTACCGTCTAAAACTATTTATTGGTCTATATTGTATGTCATTGTTTTATCTTAACAGTTTTATAAACATAACTCTGACAAATTTTTCTTTGATGTATTTTCTCTTTTTTTTTCACCTGCAAATCGGAAACAGAAAAGTGAAAGCCAACGAAGAAAGATTACGTAAAAAGAAAGAGAAATCATATACAAAACAATTACGACAAGATCATTATCACACTGATTTATTTTGATCCGTTTTTAGTTTTCTATGGAAGTGTAAATATCACAATTGTTATTATCAATACTATCCCTTATATGTGTTACTGTAAAAATAAATAAGTAGTACACCATATAATTATTGAATTTTTTGCTTCTTTATTAGTTTGCTTGTTGTATATATAAATTTAACTTATATTTCAACATTAAAACTTAAAGGAAAACCACAGGGAAATGCATTTTTAGATATTTTTCTTGCAATAACATGACTGTGTGTGATCATTTTATCTACCTCATATACAGGTTTGTGTACTTGGCTTTAGGGCTACACTGTAAGTGTGAGGGTTAGTGACTTGTACTGATCAGTTGCCTAAACTGGAATAGATGAATATATGAGGTTTAAATTTGCGACTTCGTAAATTGAGAGCGAACACTTCAACCACTGAGTTAATACTTCACCATTGTGTGAGATAACATATAGATTCGGTTAATTTGTTGTTTAATTGTCTTGAATCCGATTTATTGAATTCCATTAATCGCAACTCACCGAAAGTCATCTTGAGTTTATGGATTTTCCAACTTTCCTCTCGAGTTGTTTTTATTTTGTAATCAATTCTTGAGTAGCACTAAGGAATTATATCCAACTAGTTATGTGACGAAGTTGTGTTGTTTATAAATCAAGCTTATTACCACGTATAAAGTTTTTGTTTGGTTTCTAGTTTAAGTGTCTATATAACAATAGGCATTGTTGTTTGGTCTAGTTGTTTCTTTATTTTGATATTTAGGAGAGACCCTATTCATTGTTTTATTACGTATGGTAATCAGTTCAGCATTATCAACTTGCGATAACTGCACTCAGTAGTTAGAGACATTGAGTGACATGGTTCATAATCCATATTACTATATTACTTACTTAATTACTTACTCCTGTTACCCTTTATGGAGGAGCATAGGCCGCTCATCAGCATTCACTATCCAATCCTGTCCTGGGCAATCCTTTCCAGCTGCTATTCATTCTACTCACATCTGCTTCTAGTTCTCGGCGTAGTGTGTTCTTTGGCCTTCATCTTTTCCGTTTCCCCTCAAGATTCCAAGTTAGCGCTTACCTCGTGATACATTTTGGTGATTTCCTCAATGTGTGTCTTGTCCACGTCCAACGTCTTTTCTTGATTTCCTCCTCAGCAGGAAGTTGGCCTGTTCTCTGTTGCTGATGGTATCTGACCAACGGACATTGAGTATCTTGAGTAGAAAATTGTATTTAATTACTTGTATCTTTTTGATGATGAGTGCAGTGGTTCTTCAAGTTTCCACTCCGTGCAGTAGGACTGTCTTGACGTCCTTATTAAAGATTCTGACTTTGATATTAGTTGACAGTCATTTTGAGTTCCATATGTTGTTCAAGTGTAGGAATGTTGCCCTTACTTTACTAATCCTTGCCTTTATGTCTGGATCAGATCCTCCTTGTTTATCGATGATATCGTCCAGGTACGTAAAACTTTCCACCCCCTAAGAGCTTCTTTGTCAAATGTGACTGGGTTGATGCTCTATGTGTTATACTTTATGATCTTACTTTTTCCCTTGTGTATGTTAAGGCCCACTGTCACAGGATCTGATACTACACTGTCTGTCTTCCTCTGTATTTGTTGATGTGTATGGGATAAGAGAGCTAGGTCACCTGCGAAGTCCAAATCGTCTGGTTACATCCAACCTGTCTATTTTATTCCATGCTTCCCCTCAAATGTGGAGCTCTTCATAATCTGGTTAACCACTAGAAGAAAAAGAAGGTGGGAGAGTAGAGAGTCTTGTCTGACTCCGGTCTTTACTTGCGATGTGTCTGTCAGCTGTCCTCCATGCACCACTTTGCAGTGTAGTCCGTCGTATGAATTCCGTACGATGTTGACGATTTTCTCAGGTACTCCATAGTTTCGAAGAAGTTTTCATAGTGTTCTATCTACAATGCAAATGCATTCTTATAGTCAAGAAAGTTGATGTATAGTGACGAGTTGTATTCGATTGATTGTTCAACGATAATCTGTAGTGTCGCGATTTGGTCAGTGCACCACCGATCCTTACGGAATCTAGCCTGTTGGTCTCGAAGTTGGGCGTCTACTGAATCTTCCATCCGGTTCAACAACACTGTTGAATACCTTTCTTGACACTGATGGTAGTGTGGTTCTTCTGTAGTTCTCACATTTGCCCAGATCTTTTTTTGGTATCTTGGTGAGGTAACCTTCTTTCTAGTCGTTCGGTACTTGTTCCTCCCCCAAAATCTTCTTGAATGGAAGGTGAAGCATGTTTGCAATTACTTCCATGTCTGACTTCAGCTGGTACATTGTCATGTCCTGCTGCTTTCCCGCTCTTGATTTGTCTGATGGCCATTCTGGTTTCTTCGGTCGTTGGTGGATTGACATCTATAGGAAGGTCTGTGTGTGTTGCTTCCATGTCCGGTGGATTCAGTGGAGCTGGTTTATTCAAAAGTTCCTCGAAGTGTTCTACCCATCTGTTCCTCTGTTCTTGAATCTCTGATTGGCTTGCCTTCTTTGTCTTTGATCGGCCTCTGGTTTACTATGTCTCCCTGACAGTTTCTTCGTTGTCATATAGTTGTTTCATATTTCCTTATCTTGCAGCTTTTTGTGCCGCCGTTGCTAGCTCTTCCATGTATTTCTGCTTGTCGGCTTTAATGCTCTTCTTCACTCGTTTGCTTCTGTGTAATCTGAGTGTGCCTTTACATTTTCTGTTCTTGTTCGACTGTTGTTAATTGCTGTCTTGTACTTCGTTTCTTGAATCTTGTCCAGTGTTTCTATAGAGACCCATTCCTTATGATGATGTTTCTTTCTGATCAGCACCTCCTGTCACGTTGAAGTTAGTACTTATTTGATCTCTTTCCAGTTGTCCCCCATCGTAGCTTATTCTTCTTTCAGTTGATCCTGTAAGGCTTGGAACCTGTTATTGAGAGTTATCTTGAATTTGTTGACTTTGTCAGTATATCGAAGGAACGCCGTATTAAACCTTTGTAATACTGCTTGTTCAATTGTCCAGTGCTTCTTTAGCTCCGATTTCTTCTTGGCAACCACCAGGTGGTGATCTGAAGCTATGTCAGCTCCACTCCTGGTTCTCACGTCTCCCATTGACCTTGTGAATTTTCTACTGATGCAAATATGATCTACCTGGTTCTCCGTGATGTGGTCCGGTTAGATCCCTATTGCTTTGTGTACGCGTTTGTGTGGGAATGTTGTGCAGCCTATAACCAATTTGTTGAATGCACATTAATTTGCAGATCTGCCACCATTCTCGTTCGTTTCTCCCAGTCAGTCCATGTCGTTCCATGATATCTTCATACCCGTTGTTGTCTATTCTGACTGGCGTTTAGATCTATCAGGTGGTTAGGTTGTTTTCTGGGCACTTCTCTATGATTCATTGCAGCCTCTCATAGAAATGATCTTTATCGTTGTCATTGCTATCAATTGATGGGTGCATAACATTGGATAATATTCACTGTAATTCCCTCCTTTGTTTTGAAGGATTCTTTGATGATCCTGAGTCCATAAGATTCCTATCTCAAATGTGCTTTAAGTGCTTCTTTGGACAGCACCAGAGTAACTCTCTGAGTGTGTGGAGCATTTTCCTCTTCGTGACCAGAGTACAGCAACAGTTCTGCCTTACCTAACTTTTTGCTGTTGAGCTTGAGTCCAATGGGTTTCATTGATTCCTAACACCGCCAAGTTGTATCTCCTCATTTCTGTTGCTATATGACTGTTTCATTAGGTCTCCCACATCGTTCGAACGTTCCATGTACTTATAAAAATTGTCGCTCTGATTGTTAGAAGGGGTATAGACCTCGTGACTTCCGAAGATTCTCGGCTTTCAGCATGGGGCCTCATAATTCTTCCTTCAATTCCGAGGGTAGAGTTTAAATGATTTAATTTGTTTAATCTGATTGGCGTTTTTTAGCATGGTTGTTTTCTACGGGATGGGGTTGCCGACCCCATGACAAACCCTCCTCCTTTACCCGGTCTTGGGACCGGCAGTATCCCTAGAAGAGCTACAGTAATATATTACTATATATTCTGCATATAATTACAGAATCGGTCACAGTTATCATTCTTCACATTCCTCTACATTTATTATTCTCATTCTTCCTTCAAACATACTCTTTCAGACTGTCTTTCTTAACCATATTCTCGATGTTTAGTCCTCTTTATCATAACTACCAGGATTATTTCCTCTTCTTTACAAGATAAATGATCCTGCTCGTGTCATCTCCAAAGGAATGCGGTTTGAAATGCATATAAGTTAAATCTATGACATTTGAATATACAGTTAATTGGTTTGTCAATTAAGTATTTAAATGCATAATTATTATCGTCCCACAAGCCGGTGATATGAATCACATCTGTCATATAAAGGTGAGTGATAACTGGTTGCTACCTGATCATTAGTAAAGTGAAATTCAAACATCTTGTAAACTGGTTGTAAATTGTATTCCTAGATGGGTATGCACAGATCTAATAGACTGTAAATTCCAGTGCTATTCTGTACAAACTACAATTGACCACTAACTCATTTACCAGGTACAGATTCAGTTACCTGACTTTGAACCACACCCACATATATATATAAAGGTTAGTGATACTGTTAGGTTGCCTAAACCGAATTGGGTAAAGCGAACAATTCCAACTTGCAACTTGATGATTGAGAGTGAGATGACTTAACTATCAATTCACGGCTACACTGTGATGTAATGCTTGTAATAATTTCTAATAATATTGGTTAATCATTTCCATAATCATCATCTAAACTCTTGTTCGCCTATTCTGTGTTCAGATAGTGAAACTTAGTAATCTTGGAAATGGATACTATTGGTTTTTGATATCTAAATCACTACTCACATGTTTTCTGTAATTGACATTTAATGTGAATAAGTTCAGTGATTGAGTATTTATAGTGAATATCTGAGTTGATTTATTTCTCACGACCTCAAACCAAATTTTCATTGAATTTGTAATGATATTTAGCTTCAACATTAATTACATAT